GCGATTCGCGATAGTGAAGGCATCCCGAAGTTGCAAAAAGTCTGTTCTGTTAGTGAGCACCGGGTGGGACGCAACGACAAAGCATTCGGGTCCGAGTCCCAGGCCACATTCTAATGAGCATTCAGTCAACATAAAAACAGTTTCTCGACATCATAGGTTATCACGAAAGGTAGCCTAGGCTGCCTGAGTTACTTTAGTACTAGTTTAGTACTGGGGGAGGTGGTTGGTCCTTTCCTGGAAATTGACGGCTGGAAGTAAGGAATCTCCACATAAGGGGGGGGCCTCCCGTACGATGGACACTTCCAGGCTATTTGGCAGTTAGCAGCTACTCTTATGTATTTACCCATTTTAGTAGATGACAAGTAGGAGCGCTACTGAAACTAAACGTGCTGGAGGCGCTGGAGGCGCTGAAGGCGGCGCCGGAGGCGCTGAAGGTGCTGGAGGCCCTGAAGGCGCTGAAGGCGCTGGAGGCGCTGAAGGCGCTAGAGGCGCTGGAGGCGCTGGAGGCGCTGGAGGCGCTGGAGGCGCTGGAGGCGCTTAAGGCGCTGGAGGCGCTGGAGGCGCTGGAGGCGCTGGAGGCGCTGGAGGCGCTGGAGGCGCTGGAGGCGCTGAAAGCGTTGGAGGCGCTGGAGGCGCTGAAGGCGCTGAAGGCGCTGGAGGCGCTTTTAAAGGTGCTAGAGTCTGAGGCGCTGGAGGAAGGTGCTGAAGGCGGTCGAGGCGCTGAAGGCGCTAGATGCGCTGAAGGCGCTAAAGGCGGCGCTGGAGGCGCTGGGGGCGCTGGAGGCGCTGAAGGTGCTGGAGGCGCTGGAGGCGCTGAAGCCGCTGGAGGCGCTGGAGGCGCTGGAGGCGCTGGAGGCGCTGGAGGCGCTGGAGGCGCTGAAGGCGCTGAAGGCGCTGAAGGCGCTGGAGGCGCTGGAGGCGCTGGAGGTGCTGGAGGCGCTGAAGGCGCTGAAGCCGCTGGAGGCGCTGGAGGGGCTAGAGGCGCTGGAGGCGCTGAAGGCGGCGCTGGAGGCGCTGAAGGCGCTGGAGGCGCTGGAGGCGCTGGAGGCGCTGAAAGTGTTGGAGGCGCTGGAGGCGCTGAAGGCGCTGGAGGCGCTGGAGGCGCTGAAGGGGCTGAAGGCGCTAAAGGTGCTAGAGGCGCTGGAGGAGCTGTAAGGTGCTGAAGGCTCTGGAGGCGCTGAAGGCGCTAGAGGCGCTGAAGGCGCTGAAGGCGCTAAAGGCGCTAGAGGCGCTGGAGGCGCTAGAGGCGCTGGAGGCGTTCGAGATAGTAGAGGCGCTATAGAGGCGCTTGAGGCGGTCTTCATGCTCTTTGGTCTTGTCTTCATGATGCTACGTTGCTTGATCTTCTCTACCTCATTCTACGCTGCTTGACCTTCCCTGCCTCATGATGCTTGATGTCTTTCCTCTTCACCATGTTATTCTTTTTGATCTTGTCTTCATGTTTTTACGCTGCTTGATTTTCTCTACATCAAGCTACACTGCTTGCCCTTAACAAAGTCATGTTTTGCTGCTTGGTCTTCTCTGTTTCATGTTAGGCTACCCGATCTTGTCTTTATGATGCCAGGCTGCTTGATCTTATCTACTTCTTGCTGCGCTGCTTCACCCTCCCTACCTCATGTCAGACTGCTTGATGTCGTGTACATCGGGTTATGCTATTTGATCTGTTCTTCATGATGCTAGGCTGCTTGGTCTTCTCTATCTCCTGTTACGCTGCTGGACCTTCCCACCTCATGTCAAGCTGCTTGATGTCCCCTAAATCGTGTTATGCTTTTTGTTTTTTTCAAGCTGCTGCATTGTTTGATCTTATCCTCCTCATGCTACGCTGCTTCACCACCCGCCCTACCTCCTGTTGCTTGGTGTTTTCGACATCAGATGTTTGATTTTTGATAGTTTGATCTTGCCTTGGCAATGCTACACTGCTCGACCTTGACTACCTCATGCTGTGCTGCCTGATGTCCCCTACATCAGGTTGTGCTTTTTGATCCCTACATCAGGTTGTGCTTTCTGCATGGTGCTAGGCTGCTTGATCTTCTCCGCCTCATGCTGCCGCTTGATCTCCCCTGCGTCATGTTATGGTGCTTGATCTTCTCTAAATCATGTTATGCTACTCGTTCTGGTCTTCATAATGCCGCGCTGCTTGATTGTCTCTACCTCATGCTACGCTGCTGAACCTTCCCTACCGTACGTTATGTTTCTTGGTGTTCCCTGTCTCATGTTATGCTGTTTGATCTTGTTATCAAGACGGTACGCTGCTTGACCTTTTTTTACCTCATGCTACCTTCTTGACCTTCCTTTGTTATGTTGCTTGTGTTCTCTATACATTGTTGAGTTTTTTGTCTGGCCTTCATGCTGCTACGCTGCTTGACCTTCTCTACCTCTTGTTAGGCTTCTTGGGCTTCCCTACCTCATGTGATGCTGCTTAATGTGCTCTGTATCATACTGTGCTATTCGGTCTTGCCCTCACAATGCTACGCTGCATGATTCCCTACGTCAAACTACGCTGCTTGACCTTCCCTAACTGATGTTATGCTGCTTAATGTTCTTACATCAGATCGTGTTACGCTGTTTGGTCTTGTCTTCATGATGCTACGCTGCTTGGTCTTCTCTAGATCATGCTTTGCTACACAGCGACTGAATTTCATCAGCATGGGTTTTAGCACCCAAAACTATTCTGGGAGCACAAGTTTTTCGTGTTTGGCATCAGCAGCGTCGCTAGTTGCCATTTTCTGGTTTCAGCTAGAAAAAAGCACTGGCGAGGTGAGGCGCCCAAAATTGCAGATTCTGTGACGGAACTGATGGTCAAAAGACAACAACTCACTTTCATAAGCGCTCTTGGAATGAAGAGACAGGCACGCCCTCAAACCTTTCGCTGTCAAGCAAACGCCACGCACACGCAGGACCTGGGAAGTCTTGTATATACTCTATCTGCCAAATAAACGCTAAGCGTCCATAGCACGGGGGCCTCCCCCCCCCACCCTTCGATTCCTCCTTGGTCCGGACTCAGCCACGCATATTGTTGGCTCCGCTGCTAGCCTCTCAAGTGATAAGTTTCCAGATACGGGGTAATGTATCGTCATTGCGGCTGCCAGTTGAAGCACAGTATGTTCTAGATGTGCAGTGCACAAGCAGAAAATCGCCTCGAACTCTCAGATAGCCTATTGCTTGGCCACTACTGTTGAGAGCTTCACCCAGGAGCGCCGACCCCATCTCAATGCGCAAGCATCAGCCCCTGCGAGCCCCAGTTCGAGCGTGCCCAGAGTGCTCTGAAGGTCTGCATGGGTTCAGGTTGCGCGTGCCCCGACTGAGTTGACGCGCGCGATCTTCTGCAGCGACATTCTGTCACTTTGCCTAGCGCTTACTATCCGGATCGGTTGGTGCCCACACTGGCAGGGAATAAGCTGCGCGTTACAATCTCCTTAGATATGGGTTACTGTATTGTCATTTCCTGGAAGGAAGGAAGGAAGGCAGGAAGGAAGGAAGGAAGGAAGGATGACTTGCGTGTGCAAAAGTTTTCCTATTTACCTGAACCTCTTCTGATACCCCTCAGCGCACGCGCATCCTGTTTTACTCAGCGCGCATGCGATTCAAATCCATGTACGTTGCGTTCTAGAGTCATGACAGAAGAAAGTCCATCATGACAGAAGAAAGTCCATTGCAATGGTTGTTTGTACCTGCCTACTTTTGATACTGGTGCCATGGCAATTTTTTCTGCTCAATAAGAAACAATTCGGTGCTCTACGCATATCACAGACACGCAGTTGAGCTCCATGCTCCAGCTGGAATACTTTACAAGATCACGCGATATTCTTCACAGGTCATGGACAATGCTCATGTTAGATAAGAAAATATTGGCAATATGTCCCTTCGCAGCGACACTTATCCCTGAGCCACAAGCCTTTTAATAGTTCCCACGAAACAAGGGCGGTTTCGTCTCCTGTAATTTTTGATTGCGCTTTTGCTTCAAACATCCTCACGCACTTAGTCCCATGAAGGTTACATCCCTAAAGACTTATCCCTGCACGCAAAGTGCCTCAACCGAGCGTCCATCGGTTGAGGCACCTTGGCCCCTCTGATTCATATAGTTGGCCAACAAATTGACTAATATTATCTTGCTTGTGGTTCTTATTACTGACCATGGCACAGGGTGGGTGGAATTTAGATATTGAGACAAGATACATGTAAGAAGTTATTGATACCGGGGAAGTTCGGATATTGCAACAACAAAAACGTAAGAAGTGGTGGAGGGGCCAATGGGGGAAGTCTACATATGAAGCGAAATGGATGCAGGAAATGGACAGGCACTTAGGGGGAAGGGAAAGTTCGATATTGAAACAGGATGAGTGCAAAAAATTGTTGAGAGATATGCCCCCACCTACCTTTCGCCGCCCCCCTTCTCAAGTATTCAAAAAAACAAACGGTAGCTAGCTGGAGTTGCCTTTGCTTCAGCAAGGTAGTCTTGGGGGTCTGGGGCAGCTCAGCCCATGCTTGCGCATTCCCGCCCCCGGGTGGCCTTGATCTTATCATTTTTCATCCTTTCTCATCATTTATCACTCATGGCTTTTCATTTCATATCATTTCGTTTCCGATGATCTTGACCGAATCTTGACCCATCCGTGGGATTTCGTCTCGTTTCCTCTCACATCATATCTGTTCCCATCGTGTCTCATCATTTCTCATCTCATTTCATCTCATATTTTCTCAGTTCATGTCATCTCATACAATCATTTCTCATCATCCTTCATAATGTCTTAGTTTGATTTATCTCATGTCATTGTATCACACCATGTCTCATTATATCTCATCTCATCTCATCACATCCCATCAACCGCATCGCATCCCATCGCATCCCATCGCAGACACATCACCTGCCATCAGTTTTGATTCAGTTTCTAGGTTGATTGTTGAGCCAGTGCTTAATTCGGTTGTGAGTGGCAGCCCGTGCATAGAAACAGCGCAGCCATTCCTTGTGTTCTGGGACCCCATCAATCCAGGTCCCTGGAATGCGCCTGGACACTCCTGCCACTTGGCCACAAATTAATTTGAACCTTTTGGTCATCAGGGGATTACAGATTTTATTCCCGGGTTTACCCCACTGGACATCCATAATTTCAGTGACATTGCGCCCTTTGGATTCTGAGGAAGAACGAAAGGATCAAGGAAGAACCGACCTGACAGTGGAGGAGGCGCATTGAAGGTATGAAGGATCCTTGAATGATCAGTGGCTGGGTACCCCTATGGCTGGCGTGGAATGCTCAGCTGGGCGCCAGGTAGAGAAGTTCAGAGTGCAAGCTTTCCGTGCAGTCGTCAAGGCACGCAGCAATTTGTGTTTTCGTGCAGCAAAGACGAGATAAGTGAAGTGATTATCGTTTGAAACTCGGGAATCGTGATTTCCGACATTTTTTTTTGTTTGATTCTGGAAACATGAAAGTGAAAGCAACCAAACGGACTTGGCGGGGTAGCGGGGCTCACTAAAACACAGAAAAGATCCGGATTTTTTGGAAACTACTTCGCAAAACCGATGGGTTGGAAACGTTCTGCCCTGGTGTCTTCAAAAACCATTGGCTATTTTGCTTTCGCTTTGCAAAAACGTTTCAAGGATGAGTCTTGTCGGTGCTGGAAAGGACAATCAGATCTCCTTGGAGGAGGTTCTCAACCTGGTTCCGCGACGAACTTGGTCCAGGCTGCAAAAATGTCACAGGGATTGGTAGCAGACTGATTTGGGTGCTGAAAATACAGAATAAGTGGGCCCACCTGTTGCAAAATAGAACCATTTAGTTTCAAAATATTACGTTTCCCGCCCAAATATTGGATCATACTACATACTATCTAGTTCGAAACCCGCAATTTTCTGTGCAAGTAGGCTTGAGCGAAATGGCACCGCCCATGACTTTTCCCATGGCAGGTGGGAGAACCGGGCGGGAGCAGACTTGCTGGAGTTGTCAGAGGTCGCGCGGTGAATCCGGGAACACTGCAGTGGTGTATTGAAAAGATCCATCTGAAAATGAGAAACATACTTCAGGGCTTACAACATTCCTCAAATGCATAGGTCAAGATCTAGCCATCGCCTGTGTCAACCCATTGGCTTATCATCCGAGTTTGTTTGGTGCCCCATTGGCTTTGGCCGCAGGAGCGTAAATCGTGGGAGTGCAATTTTCTGCTGTCCAAGGCGAGCCGGGCTCGAAGATTTTTGTTGAGGAAGTCCACTGAATTCTTCGGAACAGAGTGAGTGGTTGTCTGCTAATTATTGTTGTAAACCAAATAGTAAACACTAATAAACCATGTCCCATTTTTGGTATAATTTCGTATACTCCCATTTGAGATGATTCTTATAATATTTGTAAATAGTCTAAAAAATGGTGGCTGAAACACGGACCGCACTTCGCCACACTTCGCATCTGAACCGCGCCAGTATTTGGGCATGGTGAAAGAAGCTCCAGCCGACGAAGAGTTCCAGGTGAGTTCCCACGAAGATGGACCGCATTGGGTTTTTCACCACCGAGAATCGGGGCTTCATGTCATATCACCCGTGACATGTCATGAATGTACTTGAATGTAATAGATTTGAAGCTGCGTCTGGCGGAATTGAGGTCTTTTTGGAGGTGTTCTTATTTTGGCCATATTTTGGGGAACCTTTGTATCATCCAGTATGGTTCCCTCACAGTTGTTCGACTGTTGTCTCCGGAGTGGAGTTTGAGATAATTAGTTTTGTTTCATGACAAGCAAAACGTGCTACTTGCAGGCCTCAGCTTCAAAAGATGTGGAAGAAGCACAGGAGGCCTAGACAATCACCGGATACCTCTGCAGACAGCCATGGGTCTCTGATCGTCCTGGTCTGTGGCCAGAGTAAAGGGTGACTTTTATCATTCCTCGCTTCTTTTGTTTGCAAAAATCAAATTGATTTCAGGTGACCACGAAAATTGCCTAGGAGAAAATCAAATCAAACATATTCAAGCAAAGCCTTGAATCAGGGGCGTCATTGAATTTTGCTTTCATTTGTTGGTTCCCATTTGGGAACTTGGTTGCCAGGTGCAGTCCGGAACGCAAACTCCACCTAGCCAGATCGGCAACAAAGCGCTGGACCTCGATGGCAAGGACAGGGGTGAAATCGCAACCCACTGGGGGCCGCTGGTTGCGGGAAATGACTTCGAAGATGTAAAAGTGATGTAGAAAATAGATATTTAAATTAAAGCAAAAGTACTATTCGAAGGCAGCTTCCTGAAAACATGCTTGTTTTTTGGATCCTGTGCGTGGCACTAAACACATCGCGCCGTGCCAGCGAGTACGATTTGCATCTGATGTCCGAAGACCATGTGCAGTGCTATTCTTTTGAACGCAGCAGGACTTATCATCTCCAGAGTCTGCGAGCCAAAAACTCAGATGGTGCCCTTGCCACCAACGATGGTACAGCTGGATTTTTTGGCACAATGTGATGGCCGAAAATTTGATTTCTGCTTCCAATGGGCATACCACTGCAGGCACCTCTGGCACAGAGCTGTCGGAACTTCAACCGGTTCAACCATCTTCGAGCCAGGTCATTTCAAGCGCCCAAGGGCTGGTAGGGTTGCTAACCACTAAGCATGGGGTGAATTTAGGACCGAAAGGGGCTGTTGTAACCAACAAAAGTGGGGATTTTTCAGTGGGAAATAACCGAGCCAACACCACCCTGTTGTGCAAGCCATGGATCAATATGGAGATTAATGTAATCCAACCACCACGAATAAAGCAACCCTCTTGGAGTTTCCAGGTGTCCGGTTGACTCAGGATGTTGGAAGTGAATTTACTGTGGTGTGGTACATGAATCACATAACCGACATAAGCCATTAAACTTGTAGCCCAAATAGGCTTCACTGTTGGCCAACCATAAACATGGAGGTCATCACCGAAAAGGGTGACCTGAAGATTGACAAAATCAACATAAATCAACTGTTTAATATGGTAGACCCAATAAGAATCCCACAGTATTTTTTGATGGTTTTTCATTTTCTGATCAAATTGGGGATAGCACATTAATGGTTTATTGATGGATACACCCTAATTATTACACACCACATTTTCCACGCATAAATGTATCCGTCCTCTGGAGTCAGGCCACGACCTCGACCACCAGCAATGAAAGTGGCAGCAGCGATCTGCCCAAGGTCGGCTGGTGGCGCAAAGTTTTTTTTCTAAGCGCAACATCACCTTTTTTAAAGGAATACATGTTGGTATACCAATATTATAATATTATTGTTGGCATAGCCACCAAGGGCATCGATGATGTTACCGTCGAAGACTGAGCATACCTGGTTCAGAGGTAGTTTGGTATGGCCATGGCAGGGTACCCCAAAGCCCTGGTTTTCAATTTTGAAAACGACCAACACGTACGGTAAATTGTTGGGTGCTGTCAAAAAATGGACGTCCCCATTTCGGTACGGGTCCAGCAACACGTAAAAACATTTGTGTGGGTCAAAATCTTTGGGACTCACACCATTTTTGGATCATTGTGTCGTCAGGGTGGTTGCGCTGCTGCAATCTTATTTTTTTGTGCCTTGAGCCTTGAACCACTTGTTTTGGCAGTCGGTGAAGTCAACACATGGCCCCTCTTGACAAAGTCGAAATCCCACAGCTGCTAAGTTCTTCTCGAGTGGCCTGGGAAGTACGCATATGAGATTATCGCCAAATTAATTCTTTTGGATTCGTATCAGGTGTTCTCAGGGGTACAAAGGTTCTTCGTGGGCCTTCACCCCACAATCTACAATCTATCATCAATCTATCCTTCTGGACTATCACAGTTTTGGCATTGGGATTGGCAAAAACCTCAAGAACTCGCTCTTTCACAAGCTTTCGAACCTTCCCAAAGTTGACCCGCCAGGTGCCCTTGCCATGTCCAGTTCCATTGGCGCCGTTGGCAACCCCTCAGTCAAGTCAATGAACCCAGCGGGATTCGGGGCATGGGGAGATGACCATCCCATTTTCAGGACCCGCTCCCACCATACCAATGTGACGTATATACAGTATACCGCAAACATTGTTAAGACAGTGTTCAATCCCCGGTTGATATAATTTTTTCTACGGTTAAAAAGAATCCTACGGTTGAAAGATCGTTTGTTTGCGCTGCTTGTGCCTGCCCAGGATTGATCTATCAGCCGCAGCGGCCAGTGTACATGGTCGGTGCAGTGTCATACACCTTACCTGGCACTGTGCGGCCTGGATCAGTGATGTGGCAGACCTTTCGGAGCCCGCCTGTGGCGATATGGCCCCCCCACGCTATGAAGGCGCATTCTGGGGAAGACTTGATTTGGAAATCCGGAAGATTTCAACAAGCTTTGATCCCGAGGTTTTGCATGGATCACCATGCTGGATGGTCGCCATCCCCTTTGAACCAAAATGTAGAGATGCAAAACGCCAGCTGTCGAGTTGATTTGCTTTTGACGCCGCTCATCACCCTTTCACTTCAATGAGTTCGGAAAGAGCGTCTGGCATTGCCTATGGAGACAAATCATTTCATCCCTCAACAAAACATTAACAAAACAAATATAAACAAACTCGTTGCATCTGGCAGAGGTTTTCCATCTAACTCTTCTCATCGACTGTGTTCGCCGCCGCCTAGCCAAAGTTGGGAGTATGCGAGAATGGATGATTCATATTATCAATGATATTAAGACATGAAAAGTCAGTTTTCTTTTCATTTGATGAACTGTTCGGTATCGAAATCGGTTTTTGACCAAGACTAGTTTGACAGATCAGAATCATATGTTTCATGTTGTTTTTCAAACGTGAATCTGCATACTCTACAGCATAAAACTACGTATTTCATTGCTTGTTCTCTGTTGTCCTCTCCTTGCATCTCCCCTGTTGTGAACCCAACCTAATTCGCTAACTTGGAACTGGAACTATCAGATGAGTTTTCTGTTTCAGTTTTGGACACCTTGGCAACTCAGGATCCAGTTGGGCCCAGGCGGGTGAATTTCACAGACCTCAGTTGTGCTGGTTCAATGTCTACGTTTCGCGTGGTGAAACCCGAAGGTGGAAACCCTTGGTATCCACGCCTTGCATGACGCACTCCACACCTGCGAGGAGGTGCCGCTGCCACCTGGTTGTGGGTCCATCCCATTTTGAATCTTGTAAATCTGGTTATAGATCGCAGGTGGGATGAGTTTGTTTAGCAAAATTTGGAACGCTTCAAAACTCATAGTTTGACAGTTTGACATTTCATTTTCCCCATCGAAATAGCTTTATATTTATGCATCCCAAATTGGGCTTCGAACGTGGCTTGGCTGGGTCCAATTTTGTTTGGGGTGCCATGATGCTGACCGTGCAATTGCAGCGGCATCCATGCGATTGTGCCTTCACATGCCTTCACCTCAAATTTCCTCAGATGATTTGCACACCTTATATCACTTATATCTTGGAAGATCTTGTTGTCATCATCTTTTTCACATCAACTTATGGATGGTCATCTGAAGGGGTAAAGGTATCAACACGTCTTGACTTGTTCGTCCTCCACTGAAGATGTTTTTTCAACTTGGTGAGTCCCGACTAAAGTGACTAAAATCATCCGATGTTTTGCCAAGAATCACACGAGTTGAGTGACCATGGTCACCAAATAGCCGGTGTAATCTGTCGAGGTCGGCGTGCAGCTCCCGGAATTTCGTGCTGGTGTCAGGTTAACTACCTCAGAGTACTCCAACACGGCAGCAAGAGTTTCCAGATTTCGTTTTCAACAAGAGGAATAACAGCAATTAACATCCACTTTGTAATTTACTTAGTTAACATTAGATACATTAGTTAACTTTATACTAAGCAATCGACACAGATAGATCATTTTGCCATGCGCCAGTTCGCCTGAGTGACACCCGAGGTCGACCAACTCGAACCAGGGGTGTCTGGACTAGGGCAACTAGGCCCGGCCCTCGCCGGGTCATTCACCAGTACCGTCCTGGATGTGGATTCAATGGTTCTTTTATAGCTATTCACGAAAGCTAGCGTCAGCTAGCTGGAGTCTTCTTGCTTTAGCAAGTATTGGGGGGGCTGCTCAAGGACATCACGTGATTTTTCACGCGAAAGGGGGGCCCCCCCCCCCCTCCACCACCATCACCACCACCACCATCACCACCATCACCATCACCATCATCATCATCATCATCGTCATCATCATCGTCATCATCATCGTCATCGTCCTCTCCATCGTCCTCGTCCTCGTCCTCGTCCTCGTCATCATCATCATCATCATCATCATCGTCATCATCATCGTCATCGTCGTCCTCGTCGTCATCGTCATCATCATCGTCATCATCATCATCATCATCCTCGTCATCATTCATCATCATCATCATCATTCATCATTCATCATTCATCATTCATCATTCATCATTCATCATTCATCATTCATCATTCATCATTCATCATTCATCATCATCATCATCATCATCATCATCATCATCGTTATTCAATTACATTTTATCATTATTGGCAATTATTGTCATTATCACGAAAGCTAGCGTCAGCTCGCTAGAGTCTTCTCGCTTTAGCACGTATTCCGGGGCTCCCCAAGGACATCACGTGATTTTTCCCGCGAAAGGGCCCCCCTGCCCCCTCCCCCATATATATCATTGTTATATATCATATATCAATATATCATTGTTGCATCCTCGTTGGGACGAACAATGCCGCGACACGACGATGACAGTCCCTCCGCAACTCACCTCTTCCCTTCCTTCTTTCTCCTACCCCGCTAGCTTTCGTCATCCACCCCCGGCCTCAAGTTACAATACAACTATGTTGACCAGTTGTTATAGGGGCATTTAGCTTAATTTGAGTACCAAAGTTTGGTTTTGACCGTCAAAAACGGCATTCATAAAGTGATGGTGGATTGGTTGTTTAAATCGATCAAATCCTACCCTTTTTTTCAGGAGGGTTAACGAGATGCCTATTCATCAACCAGAAGAATGGGATGGGATAGGGAAAGATAGCGATATTTTGAATGGCTCACTTGGCGCTGGGCATGGGTTTGTCAATCGAATCCTTTAGGCCTGACATGCGAGCACGAGGGATGGGATATATGATATATCCTTCCTGTCATAGTCATAGTGATCGTTCTCCTCATCCATCCCAACTGACCTTGACATTTGGATCCTCTTGCTGCCCCCGCAGTTTTGAGATCAGAATCCCGGCCAACAGCAGCGCTGGGTAAGATGCCTGGCTGGCTGAAGCAACTGCGACTGCTCAGTGCGCCACCGCGTTTCCGTGGCAGGGCTTTCAGTTCCTCACCTTGGGCACTTGGCAAACTTCCGACCAAGGATGAAAGTGTTGTCCTGGGCGCTGTGAGCTACGATCCAGCCATATCAACCATATGGGAGAAGATGAAGGCCTATCTCATCTCCGCTGGCTGTCCCTTTGATTTTGTTCTCTTCACGAACTACGAGCGCCAAGTGGCCGCATTGATGGCAGGCCATGTGGACATTGCCTGGAATGGTCCAGTTGCACATGTGCTTGCTCAACAACAGGCCGGCCCAGAAAATCTCATCTCCCTAGGCATGCGCGACGTGGATTGCGACTTTGTTTCGGTCTGCGTGGCACGGAAGGACTCCAGCGTGTCGTCTGTCTCTGAGTTGTCCGGAAAAGTTGTGGCGACCGGGGCGCACGATTCTCCCCAAGCCCACCTTGTACCTTTGTACTGGCTGGGCGAGCTGGGAGTGAAGCCGGCGGAGGTGAAATCCTTTGATCTGGATCTGGGGAAGCATGGTGACACAGCCATTGGTGAAGTGAAAGCCATGGAGGCCCTGTTGGAAGGTCAGGCAGATGCTGGGCTGCTGTCCAAGATGATGTGGGATCGAGCTGTGGAAGGGCAGCTTCCAAGCATTGACAAAGCGCAGCTGGAGAAGAATTTGCAAGTTTTGCCAGAGGCGGGACTGTTGGACACAAGATTTGTCTCAAATCACGTGTTGGTTTCGCCAAGGGATCCACAAGTCACCCACCGCTTCATAGAGTCATCGACTTTTGCCATTCAGCCATTCCGTATAGCCATATCCAATTGGAAAACTATCGAAAACTTCATGATGAATTTCCTATAGACAAGCTTCCTTGTGAATTTCCTAGCATTGTATTTAGGGAAAATCGACGGGAGAACCCTTCTACATTTGGTATTTCAACCTTCAGCTTCCGGTTTCGATTTTCCTGATCTTTGGTAAAGTAAAACTTTCGTCAACCATGAGTTTTCCCGTAGATTTTTCCCATTTTTTCCCCATGAATCCATAGAGATTAGGAGGGTCCCATAGCCCCGCCAGGCTCCCCCACTCTTCGACCATTGCCAGTTCGACGTCCTGGCCTCGAACCCAGCCTGGAAGCGGGAGAGCTTTGTGGACGCCATCTTCAAGAGACTTGGGCGTTGGAATTCACCGAAAAAGTTCATCATGAAAAGATTGGTATTTAATATATGTCTAAAATGATTTAATGAGATTCTAAAATGATTTAATGAGATAAATAATGGGAATTAAATATGATTAAATATGATTTAATGAGATAAATAATGGGATATACACTGGGTCTGGTGGCTTCAAGCGACGGATTTAGTTTATGTTTTTTTTTTTAAATGTGATGTAGAAACAAAATCACAACATGGAGCAATACTCAGTGAGACTACCAAACAAAGCTATATCTATATCATTATCTATATCATATCTATTGCTATCGGCAATAGAAGAATTTCCCATCATCCCTCAAAATTAGATGATAATCTCAACTGACACATATTATTTGTCGTTCCGCGACTGCTTGATGGCTCAACCAGGATGGATATCCAGAACCCCGCGCACCAAGAGGTGATGCGCCTGGAGGGCATTCAACAGAAATGGATGCCGCCTCGACAGGAAGGCTATGCGGTGGTTTCCAAATCCCTGGCTGCGGTTTCGAAGAGACATTTCAGTACCTCCACAGGCTCCACCGGAAGGACCAGTGGTTCGCACAGTCACAGGCAGAGGTCGTCTCTGGGGCATTTGCCGCGTTCACATCGTGCCTGGAATGGTGTCCGAAACTTCAGTTCAAAGCCAACTGTTGGAGTGGTAGGAGCCAAATGTCGCAAAAAGTCAGGTTGCATCAGTTGTCACACTTGGTGAGCAGCTAATAACCTTTTCTGGACTGGAACTTTGAAATCAATACAATTAGTTCTACAGCTTCACGTCTACTGCCTTTTGAGTTCTTAAGCCAATCAGGAGCTGGTGTGGCTGGTTTGCAGACCATCAGATCCTTGCGGGCCAAGGGTTTCGATGTGAAGGTTTTTGAGCAAGATGCCCGTGTTGGTGGAGTTTGGCGAGAGAACTATGTGAATTTTGGAGTTCAGGTGCCAAAACAGCTCTATGAATTCCTGGATTTCCCCTTCAACCTGCCATGGGGCCAGTATCCCACCGGTCCAGAGACCCAGCAATACATCGAGGATTATGTGGATCATTTCCAGTTGAGGGATGCCATAGAGACAGGGACACAGGTGGAGAGCGTTTCTCCGAAAGACAGCCGTTGGGTCATCAAAACGCAGTCGGATGGCAGCTCCAAGGAGGAAACCTTCGACTATTGCGTCATTGCCACTGGCCTCTACAGCAAAACCAAACTCTTCATGCCGGAGATACCGAACAAAGAGAAGTTTCAGGGCAAGGTGAGGTTTTCCAGAAAAGATGTAAGTGTCGATATTCGGCAACCAGCACCTAAGACACACCCAAGACTCTTGTATATTTCATTATATTTCTATGCATTTTTTATCTTGAAATTTCAGTTCATTGCATGGGTGTCCCGCGGTGTCACAGGGCCAATCTCATCCAAGTCTGCGTCGTCTAAAGACGTGGCTACAACCTTGACATCAGTGCATGTCCCTTCTTTCAAAGTCAACCTTCCCAAAGGTACTCAAAATGAACATTTGCGAAGTTCGTATGATAGTTAATGATGTTTATGCAATTTATGCCAACACATTTGGTGGATTTTGATGATCCACAGCAACCAGGTGCTGCATTCCACCAACTTCCAAGATGTGAGTCTGGCAGAAGGCAAGCGCGTGGTGGTTGTTGGCAATGGCAAGTCAGCAGTGGACTGTGCCGTTGAAGCTTCAAAAGCGCCAGGCGCCATGGGTCATCCCCAATAGATTTATGGTTTGCAACGGGATAGCATTTATGTGATCATCAACAATGGAGATTATATATATATCATATATATATATATATCTATGTATATATATAAAATAGGGATTAACAATATGATCATATGGATATGGGTCAAGTTACCCATGAAATACAATTTTTTTGGGGCGATGCACATCCATATCCCAGCTATTTTTACGGGTGAGCAGCAGGGAATTCCATGGCTTTTAACCCACAACCAGTCGATGAGGGAAAATGATAGGAGCAGAGTATGATTGGTTTTTGCAGACCATTTTTTTTTCCGGAAAAAACTTCGATAGATGAAAGAAGTGGAAGCTGAATGACACCTGTGAATTATGATTCTGCAAATATCTTACTTTCAGAATTCACTTTCTCATTCTTTCTCTTCTCATCTTCCTTGTCCATTCCGTGTTGGTGGCTGCGTCTATGCTTCCGAGGTGCCAAGGTGACCTTGGTGAGTCGGAAAGCGCATTGGCCGACGCCGCGGAAGATTGCGGATCTCATCCCGTTCCAATACGTCTTCCTGTCCCGCCTGGGTCAGGCCTTGGTCACCGGTCACAGGGGTGCGCTACCTGGGGCGCCGGCGCATATGTCGTGGTGGCACACACTGGGATGGCCTGTGATGGCGGGAGCTTTCACAGTGGTGGAGATGCTGTTTGCCTTACAGTTTCGGAATATGAGTGGCAGCACTTCGCCCCTGTTCAAATGTGCCTTTGGCCATAGATTTTAAAGAGCAGTGCTGCCAAAGGAGCTGCTCCCAGAGTTGCTTGTATGTGCCATGGTCAAAAGTTGGATGCCATATTGGGGTATGGTCATCAATCAACCACATATTCATCTGCAACGCAACTTGACCATGGCACATGTATCCCTGACTGTACTCGTCTACACTTTATGATGAGTGATGTGGTAAACCCAATAATAAAACAGTCCCAAAATCACCATAAATAGGTGGTAACCATCATCCCCAACTGGTAGGTTAGTTTATGGCACTGGCTTTGTCACATTGGAGCTGTTTTTTCCCCACAGCTGCCCAGGTGATGTGGTTTCCGATTTCTATGGCCACGCCCAAGTCTTGGACTATTCCTTCCGCGACTTGGTTTCCAAAGGGCAGATCGATTGGGTCATGGCCAGCCCCGAGAGCTACACCTCCAACGGCTTGAAACTGGCAACGGGTGAGACGTTGGAGGCGGATCTGATGGTGTTTGCCACCGGCTTCCAAAAGGATTACAGCTATTTCCCAGCTGATCTACAGTCCAAGCTGGGCGTCGAGAGTGATGGTCTGTATTTGTGGAGGCACACCTTACACCCACAGGTGCCAGGTCTTGCCTTTGTTGGGAGCGAATTGGCCACCATCTCCAATATCAGTAGCTATGGGCTCCAGTCAGCTTGGCTGGGGAAGGTGTGGGCTGGGGACATTCCCTTGCCCAGCAGCGAGGAGATGACCAAAGAGATCCAACAGATGAGGGACTGGAAGAGGAGTTGGATGCCCGACACGGCCTCCAGGGCCAGTCTGGTGCTGCTGCATCAGACCCATTTCCATGATATCTTGCTGAAGGACATGAAAATTCACCACCTGAGGAAAATGCCCAATGTCTTGGCGGAAGCTTTCATGCCGTACCAGCCCCAGGACTACAGCGGCATCGTGGGAGCGTGAGTTCCGTGCTGCCGAAAATGGTTTGTTTCACGATATCCAGCTCCAATCGGGGCACAGATCGATTAGATTAGATTTTATAGAGATGCCATAGACTCTGCGATGCGCTGGGACAAGCAAAAAGGATAAAAAGATGTGATTCTTAGGCATTCCGATCAGTTCGATGCAAGTAGGCCATTTTCCGTTGGAGTAAACATGAGAAAAGTAGATGGTTGGTGAATCTCTGAGGCGACAGCAGTTTGCCAAGTTTGTGCCACCCATTTGGTGCAGGGCTTCACCAGCTTCACTGGCTTCACCTTCAGACGCCGCAGCAAAAGGCCAGAGAAATTGATGCGGTGAGAGCTAGATGTACGACTGAATGTAGATGACCTTCAGAAAATGTCCATGTAGACTAGAATCTAGAAGCATGTAGGGACATAGCTTGATGTTCCAGATTCAGATTGATGTCTAGGATGCCCTCCTGAGTTGCCAGCGTTGAGGACTCCGAGAACTGCTGATTTGGTCCTTTTTTTTCAGGGGAAGGAACTCATCATTTCTTATGATCTCTAGAGTCTCTACCATGTAATCACTTTTTTGGTGCCCAGCTTCTGTACCATTGAGTTGGGGTTCACCAATGTATATACAGGTAGCGGAGTTGAGGACCCAGATTTGAAGCTGCCAGCATGACCTGGGCAATAAATTTCTATGTGTGATTTCTGACATACCAACCTTTGGCATCCGCATATTTCATCAAACTTTTGCAGTGAGAAAGGCGTCGATCTTGGAAGACAGCGTGCTGCACTGCCTGGGTCAGGCAGGGACATGCTGCGCTAGTCTTTTGCATAGCCTTGGCATCAGTCTGGAAAGGCAACGGTGTCAATTGGAGAGTTGATGGCTATGGTCATGGTACTCCCAAAATGGATATTGGGACCTTAAGTTCTGCTGGGTTTTCCCGGTTTCCGCCTGGGAGTCACTGGAGTATTTGTTGACTTCCACGCCGCAACAGCTCTGATGGAATCGCCGAGGTTGCCACAGCCATTTGGCCGAACAGCTCCCCACAGCTCCTCGCAACCAGAACGGCCGCCATGAGAGAACTCGATGTCTCTGACGTGGAGAAGCGCTTGAAAGCTGCAGGCTGGGAAGAAAGCCAAGGCTTATGGGGGTCACATGGATTCTTCATTTGGAGTATATCCAATTTTTGATCCATACTGGGTCCACATTTGTTTCCAAAACACCCATCAGTGGCCCATCAAATTTATGCAGCAAAGCAGGCAAAGACCTCTGAAATCTATGCATTCTTTTGTTAGAAGCTGGTGATGGGAGGATGCAATAGGATACCAAGATCTGAAACCAGGTGGCGGTGATGGCGAGCTGCGCATTTCCTTAGTTTGGGGAAGCACCGATGACTTGGACTTGCACGTCGAGACACCAAGAGGACGGGCCTGTGACATACCGTTGACTTCAGACCGCATCAGACAGGTCTGTCTTCATATGTCGGTTGCATTAGTTGTTGCCTCGGTTTCCATTGCTTGTGGATGTTGTGGCAAGCTTATCACATTTGCCATTGGTCGGTTGCCAGTGAGTTTGGGGAGTTTTGGAGGAGAGACGATCTACTACGAAAGGAGCAAGTCATCATGCGGTGGAATGCTGGATGTGGACATGAACCGTGAGAGAGAGAAACCTCGGTGTTGAAGCCGGTGGAGAATGTCGTCTGGAGCAAGGCCCCCAGGGGAGTCTACCAAATCTACGTGAAGCTTGGCAAATGTCATTGTGGTGTGTTTGTTTCTTCTTTCCTGCTGGAAGTGCAAGACCAGAAGTTGTTTCACACTGTGGCTGCCAATCTGAGGAACCTCTACCGGCATGACTCACAGGTTCCCATTGGCTTCCAAGTCTTTGTCAAGATCCGCGGCAGAAACCAGACCTTTCGGAATTTCGTCAGCTGTCAGGGGGAGAAGATCAGGGTGGCCAGTGTGCAAGTTACGGAAACCGTCCGTCCTTTGGAGCTCTCATTTGGAGGAGTCAGTTTCAGTGACTCTGACAGATAGCAGTTTTTAGGGATTGGAACCAGTGAACGGTATTAAGGCTCTCAAGTCTTGGTGACTCTGTTTGCAGGAATATACAATGGAAGTTTCCAGCTGGCTGCCACTGTGCTGGATGTCATTGACAAGGACGGCATGAACAACTTCGCCCTTACGTTGTGCCTAGGACGCATGCATCATGCCAGCGTGTTTGACTTGTTCATCCTTCTCAGTTTCATGCTCTCATTCCACTGAATTCCGGTTGTCAGCTTTGGTACTTGTTTGAACATTGCTGCGAATTGCCCAGAGACTCCAGACACTGCAGCAAATGAACCAGAATTATATATGTTCAGGGGACTCTGGAGTCACCAGAGTGCTACATTGTTGCCGGGGATCCGCTGGCGCCGCTTCAAGGCTCAGCACCTTGGGCGCCAAGAAGCACTCCATGTTCACGGCCGAACAGGCCTCAGAGCTCTCTCGCTTGAGGAAAATGCTGGAGAGAATCGACGATCAGAACAACTTCGAAGGTGCCATGGAACCATTTAGTGTTTGCGGAGTGCCGCAATCTGCGCATGATTGAAAGAGGGTTGATTTGGATCATGTGGAACTTCAAGATGCAGTTTCCAGGATCTAGGTGTGATCAGCAAATCTGTCCCTCAACTTGTTCTCCTTCAACTTAGTGAAGTGGTGCAAGAAGTGCTTGTGTCGAACACGTAAATATTGTAGTATGCCTTCGCAGGTGAACGTGCCAACGCAGCGCGTCTTCTTCAGCAATGCCTCCAGCGGCTGGACCTGGATGAAGCACGTTTGCGAGCATCGTGCGGCTGTATGTCAGGTGAGGATTCCAACAAACCAACTCTGGCGAAGTTGGAATTCACCAAGCGCCTCACGTCGAGGCGTGCTTGGTTTGAGGAGCATGCCATGCGCATAGCGCATCCCATGGGGGTGGCGGTGTTGGCAAACAAGGCCTCCGGCCATTTTGGCCGAACAGGCCACAATGGAGTGGCCCTCTGCGGCAAACCCGCTGCTTGCATCTTGGCCGCTGCAGCAATTGCGAAGATTGCGGAAGCGGCGTTGCAAAGCTGTAGCAAGTCGGACCAGGACACCTTCTGTGCCAACTTCTGCCGAAGCTGCCGCTTGGTGGATATGTCTGATCCGGATGCCCAGCAGAAACAGCTTGAAGTTTCCCAGCAATGGCTGCATAACGACTTCTGTGCCAAAGATGCTTCAGCAGATTGGAACACGCCCAAACGGTTCAGAGAGTCCACGCCAACAGCGCGTGAAGGGACTCTGAGTGGGGAGAAGAAGCGACGTGTTTTCGAACCAATGAACGAGTTGGTTCAGAAGCAGCACGTCCGATGTTTGATGTACTAGGCGTGTGACAGTTGGGAATGGCTGAGAAGCATTGAAACAAAAACCAGGCTTTCAACCAGCAAACTTTCAAGAAACACGACATTTGAAACCATATTAGCAACTCATTTTTGGCCAGCCATACCCATTTGCGTGCGAGTGGTCTCAGCTGCCCATACGCACGCCATCATGGCCTGGCGGGGTGGGGTGGCCAACTGGCGGAGCTGTAGATCTCCTCATCCAGTTGCCTTCAGAGAGCGCTGCAGCGACAAAAATGCTTCAAGTTGCAAGATGGCATGGCCGGATCTTGGGAGGCCAGGTTCAAACTTGATTTTGGTAAGCTACTTTGAATCCAAATCCAGACACCATGGAATGATGTGGATGAATTTAAGCGTTCTGTGGTCGGTTGCCGGAGTGTGCCTCAAGTATTTGCACCTGAAACAGCCAAAAGAAACCAGGATGCGACCGGGTGCCTGTGGACACTTGCGGGCTGCTTGGCCCAAGTTTCATGTAAAGAAGAGGCCAGTTTTTTTGGTGAAGTGCCACTCACAGGGTCGTTTCCACACAGTTTTTGAATGTTGTTCCACATAAAAGGTTTTTCCAGTATCATCTTCTGTCAATTTGTTGAAGAAGCAAACCATAGCGCCATTCGCGGCTTCCATAACAGTATGTATATGTAGTTGCTCGTAACGTTTGTGTCGCTGGCCAAAATTTCAAACATCTTCGAAACACGTGGATCTAGATTCGGCGCCAAACAATCGGGTGTGACAGCGTGATAGTTGAAAGCCGATTTGCAATGCACTTCTGGTAGCACTATATATATATATTTTTCATGTTTTTCCCAGATTTGGGAGGATTATCCAGGTTTTGGCACATGTTTTTGAGAACTTGCAAGATCACTGGAAACATGATAAACATGATATAAACATGATATAAACATGTTTTTCCTCAATGACAGTTTCAAACATGTCTCCCCCATGGCGTACCTTTGAGGCGATCGACGATTGTGACCATGTGACCATGGCAAGAAATCGCAGGTGGAATGAATCTGGGTCGATGGGTCGATGTCTTGTCCTTTCCGAGAATCCAAACAGGCAACAAATGCATGTCACGACTCAATGACTTTGGTTTTTTCTTTTTGTTTCCAGTTGCACCTGGTTACTTGTATCTTTAGTTTCGCAAGTTGTTTGAGATATGTTATTTTCGCGTGACCTTCCATCTTCTTCATGGCATTCTATGTAGTGCTCGCTTTCCATCCGTACCTTCTGTACAGGTTTGGACATCCAGCAAGAGCTGGGTGCTTGGATTCTTTTCCTAAGAGGCTCAACCTAAATGCCAACCTATGGTGTATGTTTTTGTTTTATGTTTATTGTGTGCAATGCACAACCAACATTTCCGAACCTGCTGTTCCCATGTTGCATAGCCGTTACAATGTTCTGACAGTGTGCCGTTGAGGGCTTCCCTTTCGGTGACGTGCCCCTCCAGCATGATTTGGCACGAGCCCTAGGCCCATGCGAATTGTCGCAACCTGAGTCCGACGACAATGAGAAACCTTGCGTTGGGTCCATGTCCATACTTCACTTTGGGAAGATTTTGAGATTGCCTTTGATTTAATTTTCTTGGAAGTCTTGTGGCCCTCGAAGCTGCATTTGGATTCCTTGGATCCGTGGACATCCTTCATTTTTGCCAGCAGACCGACTTCCTCTTTGCTTCCCATTTTTGGGTCGTAGGCAGGACCTCTCCACATATCCAACGTGGTCAAGAATTAAAACCATGAGCTCTCCTCATTTTCAAAGATGTTCGATGAGTTGAGGAGTAATGCCAACCCCGGATTAACCAACCACAACTCATTAATTAGGGGGGTACTTCCCCAGTAGTCATTTTATCTGATACTTAACTGGTACCCCCCAATAATATCAGCCCTTTGGGGTTTATTAATCCAGGGTTGACATTATTTTACACATTTTCCAACATTTTCCTGGTGGCAAAGAACCGTCACATGGCAATCTGTAGCACCTTTAGACCCAGGTCTGGGGCGGTCTGCGGTCTTGGATCAGCACCTCAGGTGGGAACCAAGCTGCCAAGCAACAGGTGTTTTACCCACCAAATTTACAGATAGGAATAGAAGATACACCAACAAAGATGATTATAACTATAATTGTATATATATATATATTTAAAATATATAATATGGTTTTAAGATGGCTTAATCATTTTTTGTCCTAAATCTAACAAATGCAGATTATACATCAATGTGTGTTTACAATCAAAGGAACCAGGCCAATGGACACCATGAAATCTGGATTTTATGTGTTAGCTTCGCCCTGATACCCTCTAATATGTGGAGCTGTTTTGTTCAAAGTCTGGGCATGTTTAGTACTTGATACAATATGATATTTTTGGTAGTGCCCAACTCAACATGGAAATTGGGTGGCTATCATTCTTGTTTGCGCAGCGTTTGCAATGGAGTAAACATGTTTTTTCCTTGACACTGACGGGGGATGCATTGCATTTGTTGCAATTAACCCGCCACGAAGTGAAGCATTTGAACGTCTTCCAAGCTGGAGAGAATTCACAGTATGGGCCCCGACTTGCCACAGTGATTCCACAGGTGTCCTGAGCTGACTCATGGTGCAGCACAAAAAGGAAGCGGCTCAGCCAAGGGTACCCCAATAGCTGGATGATTTATAATGGAAAATCACCCCAAAAAATAAGGATGATTTGGGGGTACAGTACCCCCGATTTTAGGAAACCTCCATATTCCTGAAACTGAGTTGTGAGTGACTGCAACCTGTCGGGAAGTGGTTGATGGATCTTGACGGTTCTTTGCATGCAATTGTAAGCAACCGATGATGTGCTACTAGGGTTGTGCTCAGATGTGCCGCGTCACCCAGCTTGCGGTTTTGCATTTGGCTACTTTGATTCACCTCAGCTTTTAGAGGGAAATCAGATTCATCGCCATTATAAACATACTTTGCGGAAGCTTCAACGATATCCAAGCCAGCTCATCACACACACACACTTACACATTTCCATTGCAGCGCCTGTCGTGGTTTTGGTAAAACATCTCTTCTCCAGGAATCCGCCATGATGCAGATGTGGTTTGTCTTCTGGGTGGCCCAGCGTTTGGTGCAGGGGGATCTTGTGGAAATGTGTGAAGGTGATACTCAGGGCATGCTACAGCTGGTGACGTCAGGCACGTCCACTTCGTTTGGGCCACCGGCTCCCGAATCGACGCATGGTCCAAAGACATCGCAAGCTGCATCCCAGCCGAGCAGTTCACCTAAGCCATCCACAAGCGACACAAGCACCAAAAGCACCACAAGCACCACAAGCACCACAAGCACCACAATCCAACCACCAGCCGCGGCTATCACCACCTTCCAATGGGAGCCCCATTGGCAGTGCGCTGAAGCCGATGCCTCCTGCACTCGCGCTGCACAGGCGAAGTTCCAGCAGTTGGTGGAGGAGTCGGGCGCGCAGATTGCGGCAGCCCTGGAGTTGCAGGGTGCAGCAGTGCCCAACTGGATATCCTCCAAGGAATATGAGGATGCCGTGTCCATTATGGTGGCACCAGGCTGGCAGGTCTTGAAGGAAGGAGGTGGCAACATTTGTTGTGGCGGGCAACGAGGATTGGCCGTGATGCTGGTGAAACCTCCCTGGCCAGTGTCCAACTGCGAGGAGCTCTGTGTGATGGCGGTCCATCCGGGGCATTCTCCAATCCAAAGCGGGAAATCCATCGTCCAAAGCATCTGTGGAAGTGCAACCGACTCGTGCGCAATTGCACTGGGTGATTGGAATGTGGATGCTGCAGGGGTTTCTGGTGGGTCATTTGACTCCTGGCAGAGACTGGTTGGAGGCAATCCTCCTGTTTTTGTGGTGCCCAATTCTGAGACTTGCTGCCATCCCAGCACCTGTTGTCGTTTCGACCACCTGGCCACCAACATCCCTGGTGCCAAGCCTGTGCATGTGCACGTGTGGGACTATCAACTTACGGATCGGTCCCGTATGGATGAAGAACATATGCCCGTTGCAGTGCACTTCACTGTGCCGATGAACGTGTCGATGAACGTGTCTTTGATCAGCTAGGTCAGCTAGGTCAGCTAGGTCATTCTTGTAACTGTACAGCTTGGGAATGCTGCCCCACTGCCCTGATTTTCCAAGCAGGTCTTGACAACGCTTTTGGGCAAGATGAGTTGAAGATGTTAAAGAGTCAAATAAAATCTAAACGATTTAGGAAGTGTGTAAAGAGCAACAGCCGCCCAATGAGCTTGACCACCTTGACCCAGGGCGCTTGTTTTAGTTGGAACCTGCGACTTTCAACACTCGAGACCAACACACATGTTTGGCTTCTCGTTATCCAGTGTGGTACACTTTGCAGTTCCATACCTTTAGGGCAGCACAGTGCACTGTGAGCGCAGGATGCTTCTGAGTAATCGAAGCAACGATGAATTCTCAAATCTTTGGAAAAGTATCTGAGATCAAGCTTCTGCGTTACCCACCAGTAATCAAACATGGCTTGTGGAAAGTCCCCCATTTATAGATGATTTTCACTGATTTTCCATACGTATAGATGCCGATTAAAAAACGGGATTTCCCAGCCATGTTGGAGGACACCGAAGGATATGCCACGTGGTATTTTCGAGCACAGCAGGACTTTCAGCTCAAATTTCAGCCTTTTTCGTTTCAGCCAGTCGTGTACCAGTGCTCCACACCTTTCATTCATCAGGGCCAGTCGCAACAGAAAACATGGAAAGTCGTTTCAAGTCATTGGTTGCTTCCGTTACGACCCAATGGATGCGCTTGGCTTCCAACCCCAGGCTGGGCCACCTTGAAGTCATGACAAGTCATGGCAAGTGAGCACTGCTCAAAACCATTGTTGGTTGATGATTGTATGGGTTTATACTACCCTTTATACATTGGGGATTATCACATGAACTTAGAATCCCTGTTAATGAGGGGGTTTAGCAGCAACTGCTCAAGTCGGCAGGTGCCTGGCTTTGACGCAGCCTTCCAAAATGGTGGACCGTTGGGGGCTGAGGCGCTGTCTCAGTCGCCATGGCACAGCATGGCACAGCCGCGGAATGCCGAGAGCCATCAGCTGTTGCTTGAGGTTAGCGGGGATAGCGCCCAATCCACAGCAGCTACAGCCGCTTTGATCACAAATCAATGAGCAGTTTGACCTTTGCACCTTTAAACTTCCCAAGCCATCCATCAGCCCTTCCATTTTCAGCGCCGCGATCTGAGGAGCATGATGCCGCCGAACCCCAACGCCGGGTATGGCTTTGAGGCCCTGGGGCAAAGCTGGCAGCACCTTGGCCTCGACTTTTAGGTCGTCCATCTTGGATGGCAGTGGAGTAAGTTGATTTGGTGACCATCAACTCTCACACCGAAACAACAAAATCTTTTAAAGTTCAAATGCAGCTCTTAGTAGATATTTCCGGATTCCTTCGAAGTTTCACTCATGGCAGTGTCGATAGATGTCAAGAGACTTGAAGACCATATACAACATATATCAACATATAATATCGTATGATTATACATAATATTGTCATTAGAAACATACTATGTATACCATGGCAAAGCCCCACCTTTATGGACCCCAAAGAGTTTCCCGCGTCTTGCAGAAGGCCTTCAGGAGGCCCGGCCTTTGGTGGAGCGATGCCAGGCCGGTTCAATGGGTATTCAACAGGGATATCAATGGGTACCGGTATCCAAAACTTTAGAATGGGTTGGTTGAACCCACTGATGTTGAACCGGCGATTTCTACACCTCCAGATAAAAATTCACTGGCTGGGACCAGTTCTGATAGTAATTTATCACCAGTTTTGAGAGTAACCATCCGATTCAGGAGTTAAGAATCCGGGGTTGACATTAACGGTTTTTTGAAGTGGGGATATCATGGGATATTATGAGATTCACATGGATTGGATTGTCTATAGTAGGATTAATTAGTAGGAATATAGTGGGATAGATAGTGGCCAAATTGATATTATAACCAAAACTATCATATTTGGGTGTGTCTGAAAATGGGTTGTATTTATACACTTAGAACAGTTGCATAAATTCTGATTATCAAAATCCATCTTTCTTCTCCTATTTTTCCCATCGGTCTCCCCTTATCAACAGCGCGACTAGCGGCTGATCACTCGAGACCAGCACTCCAAAGTTGATTCATTCAGAGAGTTGGATGAGAAAATTGAAACCGGAAAGCCCCAGAGTTGATGGTAAACAACATGGTCCATTGATTCCCTGGCGGCATAGGTGGTCCTGGGATGCCCTGCGGAAACCTGCCACAGTCCTTTGGGATGCAGGGGATCTCGGTCAGAAACCACTTCGAAAAGGTGGCAAAAACCAGGATGGAGTTTTTCCAAGTCAGAAATTCTCAGAGTTTCCCCCAAAAAAGTTGGTGTTTCATGGATTTTCATGGTGTTTCCCCTCCAAAAACGCTTGGTGTTTCCCCATACTCTGAGGCCTCCAATGGCCTCAGGAGCCGGTGGCCTTCCGTCGGGAGCCATGGGAGTTTCCAAAAATGGTGGATGGTGCCAAGTTATGTGAATGTTTAGATTCACCCCATGAATACTACAGTAGTTTGTTATATCTACCTAATCAACCAACTAGTTATATCATGTTATATCATGTTATATCTATCATGAATCATAAACCATAGATATCTACCATAAACTTCCATACACCATCATAAACCATAGTTCATTCAGCCACAGCCATATCATTTCTGTATGAAATTGTCCCAACAATGGCCCCAACCAACATAGTTGGTCTGAGCATCTAGGGAAAAAATGGGGAAAACCATTCCATCCTCTAGTTCATCATCACTTTCCCCATGAAATGGCCATTTTATATACCCTAACCAACATGAACCCTTTCCCGTGACGTCGATTTCAACAAGGCCGGGCCTGCCCCAGCAAGTTGCACCCACGCTGCCGCCGACGATGCATCCTGCTCAGTGATTCATTTCTGAAGTGGGAGAAGCATCACAGATTGCACCAGTGAGGGATCACCAAACAGCTTCCATATTTTGGATATGTTGGAAATGCGAACCCCAAGTTATTCACTCCCAAATACCACCAACAAAAAAAGGTGATGTGAATGTTATTGGGACCCTTTTCCCACACCCTGATGGTGTCTTTTCCCATGGGAGGAAAATCAAAAAGACAGGTGCAAGGCGCCTCCAGAGCGGCATCCGGTGCACCTTGGCATTGCTTGCACATCTGAAAAAAGTTCTATAGGCCTGAAATGATAGGGATATTGATATAGCTAATGGGGTCTTAATGATGTTTAATGGCTATTTCATGGGGGATACAGTATCTTGGGATTGAATATCCACATGGATTGGACAATATCATGGGATATCATGGGGATATAATGGGAATAATATTGGCAAATTGAAAATGACCAAGCAGCGGGGATATCATATTTCATGGGATCAAGCGGGATATATAATATAAAGAAATACCAACAATCTGATATTTGACTATATCTGAAAATGGTATGGCCCCATAAAATGGCGATAGGGAACACGATGATCAACCAGTGGATGGAATTGTGTGTTCCCCCAAAAAAATCAGACAAGCCCATCTGAGTTGAAGCAAACGTACTTGACTATTTTTTCAGGGCCAACAAACATCTGAACATTGGATCAACTTTGATCTCATCCAGTCATCCAGTCCAGCCTGACTCGCTTCAGGCCCGATCACATGCATCCAGGGATGTCCGGCTCTCAGGGACGGGGTGTTTTTGTTTCGTCCTTGGCTTCACCTGCAGCAGCACATCTGAGGATGGGCATGGGTCCAGGACCTTGTGGTCCAGGCGGACCTTGTGGTCCGGGCGGACCTTGTGGTCCGGGCGGACCATGTGGTCCATGTGGACCGGGTCCATGTGGTCCTTGTGGACCAGGGGGTCCAGGGGGTCCAGGGGGTCCAGGTGGTCCAGGGGGTCCAGGTGGTCCAGGTCCACCCATGGTGCGAAGCTTGGAACATCCGCAACATGAAACAGATTGAAAAAGTGGACTGGTGCCACATCGGCTTCCCGTGGGCTGAGGCCTCCTTTCGTCCCCGTCCGCGCGGCTGGATGCCACCCCAAGGCGGGCACGCCTCGCACCCCTACCGGCCGCGCCTGCCCGTGGTGCGCCCACGGCCGGTGCAGACGGTGCCACCACGGCCGCAAAGGCGCCAGCCTTTGGGGTTTGAAGGGGATGAAATTTTGTGATCGGTACATTTGGATATCTAAAAATGGGTGGATGCCCACCAATCTTTTCTGAGATTTTGATGGGGAGCATGATGGTATACCGTTAGATCTGGGGTACCATATTAAAACAAAACCAATTGGATCCAATTGGTAGTTGATGTCGAACCCATTGCTGTGGATCAAAACCTACGATGCCATATTTGGAGGGATGAACATCCATTGGCCAGTTACCTTCCTGTAAACGAAGATAGATGTGGAAAACCAACCACTTGTAGATCATTTTCCTACGGTTTCCCCATAGTTTTCCACATCTTTTGATGTGTTCACCTCAGGGTATTTTAGGCTTCACCAGCCAAAACGAGACGCTGCAGGACGGACATGGGAGCGGGTGGATTGTACCTTGGCGGAATTCTGGGGCACTGGACATCTGAGCATTGCAGGTTTCCTAAGTCATGGGGGATACCCCCAATAGCTGGCCTGGATGGTGTATTTCGTGGAAAATCCGAAAAGAACATGGATGAGAACTGGGGGTACCTTCATTTTAGGAAACCTCCATTTAGCATAGTGTACCTCTGTCATCCTCTGTCCGTGTTCCTGCAGCCAATGTGGCACGTGGACTTATGGAGAGATACAGAAGACACCACTTGAAAGTGCGCGCACACACACACACACTGCAACGTTCAAGTGTTGCCAAAACGGAGGTTTCGTTGAAAGGACTGCTGAGAAGAAAACCCAACTGGATCGTTGGTTGAAGACTGTTGACATTTTTTTGTCGTCCGAGTCGTCCACTCAGGTTGGGCCAAGTTTTTGGCCCTCAAGTTCTGGTTATGATTGAAGGATCGCACTTTTTCAGGGGTCAAACCTTCCAAAAAAGATCAACGATGTTGCCAACTCCAGCGCTCTCGCCTGCAATGACGCCCACGTCCGACTGTGGGTCGCTGGGTCGGGGCTATTTGCACGGTGAGGCTGGAGAGAGCAGGGAGACGAAAAGCATCGCGTTGGCACTGCCTGGCACCCTTGAAAAAAACCATCTCAAAGTTGTTTGTTTGAAAAACCTGCCTGCAGGCTGCGAAGCATTCCCAAGTGGTGGTGGATTTGGAGGCACAGATTGGGACAGCTCCATAGATCTGCCGATGTGTTGAAACTGCATTTTGAACATGTACAGTAGATAATGTTTGAATATGTTTGATAGTATATGATCACACATTGTTTTTTTTTCCATGTTTAGAGGGATTCTCAATTCTTTTTTTTTGGGCTTCTCATTGATTCACCAGAAACGAGTCCTAGGAGCCGAGTGGCTCCAACTTTTTGTTTCCAACACCTGGGCCGCTGACTGGAGTGAAGACTCGGGGCAAAGCCATTCTGAAGCTGAAACAGGTGCGCCACAGGCCTTTGACCCATTTGACCCATGAAAAAATGGTAGATTTCACCCGCAAAACGTGGTGAACATCGTGGATTCTCCCAGCAACATGGTCCACAAACTCGATCAGAGCCAGTGAGAAAAGTGGAATGGCAGGTGGCCCCAACAAAACACGTGGATAGAACTTTATGTTTTTTTTAATACCAAAGGACGGTATAAGAAATCGCAAAGAACCATAGGACAACAGCTTAAGACAATCCTTGATACATCGGCATCGGCCACACCTTGCCGAGTTGCCGTTGGTCAATGTGTCCAGGTGACCTATCAATATCCCACACAGTCCAAGCCGGCCATCAGAGACGTTGACTTGGAAGTTTCCCAGGTGCCGTGTCAAAGATGGCAATTTGCTGAGAAATGGGCATCTGGAAGATGATTGACATCTTTGATGTCCCTTTATTTCGCAAGAATCTATGTGGACGTCATCTATACAAATCATATGGAACATCATCTATAAATCGTCCATAAATGGACGATTTTCCATTGACATGTTTGAATAGCAGAGAGGGTAGATGTCTCTTGCTTTCCCAATCTCGGAGAACTTTTTGCTTGTCCAAAAAATTGATAACTGATTTGCTTTTCGGAAGCTTCGGAAACCTCAATGGACATCAATGGACTAAACTCCATACTACGTCATGGTTTGATATTTGGGAAACCATCGACGAGATTTTAGATGCCCTTAAATTGCCATTGGTGCTTTGCTCCAAATTTATTTAATGTCGGAAAATGGGGTTCCCATTCCATCCACTGGTTAATCATTTTCCTTATGAAAATTACTGTTTTATGAGGGTATACAAACCCATTTTCAGACACACCCAAAGTCCCAAAGACCTCTCTGCCATAGATTTTTGGTTCGTCGATCCCCTGTGTATAGTTGAAACACACCAGATGACTACGTTTTATTGGGTATACGGCATACGGTCGAACATGAGTATTTCCATAGACCCATATATATATATATAGCTTATCTATGTACATATTTCCATACAGATCCATATAGATTATACAGATCCATAATATGTTTTTGTATAGATAGATTCTAGATTCTAGATATAATAGATGGTTTATGGATTATTATTCCCATATGTTATAAATTGCCATAAATCTTCCCATCCATAATATCCATATAGATTTTACAGCTGTGTGTTTTCCAGGGCTGGTCCCTGTTCGACCTGAATTTTTATCCGAGGCGAGCCGCGTGGCCTTACTGGGACCCATGGGCTCGGGACGATCCACACTGCTGCAGGTGGGATGTTGAAGCTACTTGGATAATTAGTGATAGTAATAACAATAATTATTGGATTAACTACCATCACTGATCATGAATTATCATCATTAATGATCATGAATTATCATTAATGATCATCAATTATAGTATAATTTATTGGATTAACTATCCAATTTTGGTTATATAACTATATAACCACTTTCCTAACCCAGACGATCACTGCCGATGATTTTGATGGTCGCTGCGTTGGCATGGCAGTTGGGTTGCAGGTCTTAGAAGGGCGGCTGAGACCAACACACGGAAGCGCCATGCGAGTGCTTGGTTTGCGTCGCTTGACACCGGTCAATTCGAAATGGTTTGAAATGGGTATGGATCAATACCTATTAATAGCATTTTTAGGGGGATGAACATCCATAAATCCCAGCTATTTTGATGTGAACCACAGGGGTACAAGGTTTTGACCCACTGCCAAATGATGTAGCTGCTACGGGCTTGGGGAAACATACTTAGTGCATCATGATGGAATCGTATGTTTCTTTTCGCCAGCCCGGCTTCAGGTGTTGCATATGTCTGCAAGCACTCGCTCCAACGCTTCGGCCATCACAAGGAGGGATCGGCAGATGTGAAGCTTAGGTCCTGTCGCGCAGACACAAAACAAACTGCTGGGAAGACAGCAAGATGACGGCCGCCAGGATGCTACTGCATTGCAGTATTTCATGTGGAGATTTTCGGATCACAGCTGCTGGGCCTGATTTTTGATGAGCTTTAGCATGAAAGTGTGAAGATTTTGAGCAGTTTCAAAACTCCCAGCTGGTTGATGATTGTACAGGGTTATATTACCCAACATATTGGCAATTATCATTCATCAAGTGTGAATCCATAATAAAGACCTATGGTTTGGGATTTTCCAATAGATTTCCATGGTAGCCTAAAAAAACCCTATTGTCTTTCATTATATCAATTATATCCTTAGGATATCCCCATTCCATCCCAGTATGCCGACACGGGATGGTCCTCCCCTTACGACACATCTGAGGGGACAAGGAATCGGCCAGCATTGCCTCCAGCGTTTCACAAGAAGAGGAAGCCTTGAGGAGCCGATTTCACAGATCAGCAGCTAGAAATCGTTGGGATTTCTGGATCAATCAAAACCCAAAATCGTGTGGAATTTAAACGAGGGTTTTGACCCATCCAACAAAAGCAGGGGGTATAAAATTCTCAAACCATCCATTTATGATAGAATTTGGGAATCTAACCGGTATAGTAGTGCTTTTTCTAACCAGTAATCGCGGCGATCTCAATCATGAATCATGGGGAACACATCATCACTGGCGTTTAAGCCCCTATGGGTCCACACAATTGGTGGTCGCGGCTGGAACTGCTCGAGGAGTGTTTGTTGGTACCTGGACAAAGACAAAGTGCCACGCCAGGGCGAGGACCAGGCATCTGGTCACTGAGTCGATCCCAGCTGTTGAAAACTCTGGCTGCCATTTACCACAAACCTACCATTTGGGGATGGTTTATAAAGTTTATACCACCTCTTTATGGTGATTTTGGGGATGATTTATCATTGGGTTTACCATGGTTTACACACTTTTCACAGGGTCATTTTGACCCGACAGGTGCAGGCTTTACGCGCGATTCCTGACAAGATCTGCAATCGTCGCTCGAATGCTGCGGGGGAACACGAGTTGCTTGGCAAGGAAGGTTGGCAGGCTGACGTCTGACATTTTGCATCTTCCAATCATGTGAAATCCCATCAAATCCCTTTGAGTCTCATGTGATCTCTGGTAAACGTTTACAGTTCGCTATTGGAAATGGGCATAGAAAGTTCGTTGATTTACTGAAAATCGTGATTTTCCACGGTCATGTTAGTTTACCAGGTAACATTTGGAGTTCGCGCCCCCAGCTGATTCCCATCCAAGGTATGAAGTGAAATGGCTCAGATGTGAAGAGAAGACCTGGGTGCGAAAGCAGATCCTTTGCGATATGGGTTGCTGGGCATTTGGTTGTCCTTCCCCTGACCCCCAATGGAAACCCCCAATGGAAACCCCCAATGGAAACATATGGAAACCATGGACATACCCAGTACCCCCAATGGAAACCATGGTTTAGCATTGGTCCTCTTTATTTTCAAGTTCCTTAATGGGGAGGTATTCAAGCGGGATGGTAGAATCCCTGCAGGTCGCTGTGATGACAAATTTGGCCCCTGCTGCTTCGCCGTCGTTAGGCTACGCGAAGTTGATGCAGTTGGAAGATGACTGGCAAGCATCCTGCGCGTTTTCAGCCAAGGACTTGTGATGAAAGAAAAGAACGGCTGAGAACAGCTGCGTGTCCTGTTTAATGTGCTCGTAAGGATTCAGTTTGATCGACAGGTTTTGGTGACCCAGCTACTGGCAAACTCTGGTGATGTCGACAAAATCTCATCTGTGGACCCCATGATCTTCAGCGATAAACATCCATAGATTTTCAAACCTCGAAATGACGGTAGATCATGGTATTACATGGTATTCCTAGGGGAAATCACTGTAGATTCACTATAGATTATGGTATTACTATCTCAGCTATGCATGATCACTTATGAGTTCCAGTTCCCCATAGGTTCCCAACAAGTTCCATTCCTATCGCAGGAGCTGACAAAGGAGAACGTGCTGAAGCATTTGCGCTGTTTCCAGGTGGATAGCTCTGCCAGTCAGATGCCCATGGGCCACCTGGTCGCCCTGGTCGCAGACTCCAAGGGCTGAAGCGATGATTCTCATTGTGATGGAACCAGAAATTGAATGCAGCTGATATTTATAAAACCTATTAACAAAAACCCTATGATTTCCAACAAAAAAAGTCATTTCTTGTTTTAACATGTTTTAACGTTTGGTGATAGAAGACAAATAAGAGAAAGGACAGATTTGAAGTAAAATGAGGATGGGTTAACGGTTAACACCTACTTATGGGACGATATTTGGAGGGATGAACAGCTGCTAATCCTGGCGATTGTTTGAACCACTCGCCACAAGACAATTTTGAGTGGACAATCCATTTTTTGTTGGCTTGTGCTCTTGTTCATGGCATGTCTCTGCTGTGGGAGGTTTCTGCTGGCGATTGAAACTGAGGCAAACTGAATCGAGCCATGAAAATCAGGAGCCAGAGTCTGCATTTTTCCAGTACCAATCACTTCAGGCCATACTTCACATTTTTCCATCCCAAAAAGCACTGCTTTGACCATGAGCGCCATCATTTTCGAAGAGAAGTTTCTGCATCTTTAGAGGATCGTTTTGGCCGCAGCCCTGTGGCAACATCCGCACGTTTTGATCCTTGACGAGTTGGCGGATTACGTGGACGTTCAGGAAATGGAGGCCTTGCGCTGTGCCATTGATCGCTTTGGAGGTGGTGTGATCCTGGTGACGGAAAACGCGCCTTGGGCAACGAATTTTTGATGGGGAAAACTGTGGGAATATCAGAGTCTGCAACCCTGAAAAGTCCACTGACTATCCAAGATGCAGCTTTTATCCAGTGAGGCAATAATGAAGGTGCACATAGACATAAACATATTCTTGCCGTCTTTGGAAAGGTCGTTTTCATAAAGTGTTTGCGCTCTGATTGCGCCTCACGCGCCCGGCCTCTAGAGTAAGAAGGGCTGGGCTAAAATATGTTTCGATTGTTGCATGTTCATTTTGCTGTTGGGGACATTCTTTGGGTTTATTTTCGTATGCTGTATTTGTACATTTTACATTCAAACCCTAACAACCACCAAAAACCAAAAAAAAAAAGATCCTGCTAAAATAGTGGTAAGTGGATATAAAATGATATAAATGGACCATTTTTTTGTTTTCCATGATTTCCCTATTTATATTAAAATAACCATATCTTAGGATCGTTGCCATGCCATGTCCGAGGAACAGCTGCGTGCCTTGGCGACGGAGAAGTGGTTCATGGACGAAGGCGTGCTACACGTGGAGCAACTGGCGAAGGCTGGGATATTTTTAAGCTACGAACTGAGTTTCCACATGGAGATCTACATAGATCTACTATGATTTCCATGGCAAACTGCTAGATGAAACGATTTTTATTTTTTGGGTCTCAATGGCAGCAACATGCTTTTGTAATCTCATTCATATTAAATACCCATGATGATTGGCATCCAATAGATCCCGCCAGGGTTTACTCTGGGGATATTTAACGTTATATACGGGGAACGGCATAAATACACAGATGGGCAAAAATCACAATGAGAGATGAACGAATGATATGCATACGGGTTGTTATCTAGATACTGACCAAAGTGCACAGATGCACATCCATGTGGATCTCTTGAAATCTTGAGGCGCATCTGCAAAATCTGTGGCAACATTATTGGACCTAGACTCCATGTCGGTAGTTCATAAAATGTCGGTATTTTCAGCCGAACAAAATAAAAACAAATTCAAGAACCCATTTTTGGTTGGGAATGTTGTTTTTGAACTATCATGTGATGTTTTTTTTTTTGCCCACTACAATGCAAGGACCAAACCCAAAGACTCCATGCAGGTGACCTCGTGGTCCACAATTTTTGCGACCTTTTGGAAGTCTAATCCCAAGTGCTCCGTCGCTTCTGGCGAACAGGTTGATGCACGGAGCAATGCCAAGACTTCTGATATGCCTGGGGAGTGCCTTGGGTCGCTAGAATCTAGTTTCATTCAAGTGCCCCTTCAAAAACAAGATCAAACACAACAAATCTCCGCAAAAGCGAAGAAAGTTCAATGCCAACATCCTTCTATAGTCTTCTAAAAATATGGCATCTTCACAATATGGGGGGACTTTCCAATTGCTATGTTTGATTCTTGGGTAAGTCGGTGGACCACGGTGCACATCCAAGGGCTGAGAGGAGACACATCGTGGACATCGAGCGTCGGATCCAGGAGCATCGAAGGAAACCCCTCAGCGACAAGGACAGCTTCCATCCATGACCCTCTGGATGGTATTGGATGGTTAATGGATGGTTTATAATGGTTATAATAATGGTTATAATAATGGTTATGATAATGGTTATATAATGGTTATAGTTATAATAATGGTTATAATAATGGTTATAATAATGGTTATAGTCTTGGTTATAATAATGGTTATAATAATGGTTATAGCTATAACAATGGTTATAATAGTGGTTATAATAATGGTTATAATAATGGTTATAATAATGGTTGATGATGGTTACCCTCTGGTAAACGTTTACAGTTTGCGAACTGGAACATCACCATTTTTACTATGTAGATCAACTATTTCAATGGCGATTTTCAATAGCGAACTGTTCGTTTACCAGAGGGTAATAGCAGGCCCGACTAAACGAGGATTAAAATCGGATTAAATGAGGAATGAGGTTTTGGTGAGGTTCCAGAATGACGATTTTTCATGAGGCTTAAAAGAGGAAACCAAAATATGATGCTTTCCAATCTGCGACTCGCAGAAATTCTCATAGTAGGGATTTATAATCTACCTATGATACAGCAACCAAACAAACCCATTCATAGGGATTAATGTATCCACTGTAAGGGGTCGGTCATCAATCCATTAACAGTAGGGATTTTCATCTACCCATTGCAAGGGATGAAGCAATAAATCCATTCATTTGAAGGACTTTTTAGATTCCGCCATGGTGTTTGGATTCCCAATATGAGATGGATAACTGGATAACACACATTTTTTTTGGCCTTGGCAAAGATTGTGCCAAGAAGGGGAGATTGATTGCATTCTATGACATCAAGTGGGTATGATTCAAACTCAATTAGCTCCCAACCGTAAATGGATGAATATTTTATGAGAAGATAATGGCTTGGTACTAAATTATTATCCAAAGTTTAATATGTAGACCATAAGAGGACTCGGGCTATTTTCCCATGGCTCACACGTTAATACGAGTACATTTGTGGTTCCCTGCCAGGAGCTGTGGCAGCTTGAAGACGAACTACACGAACTCAAGGAGACTAGCGAACGGTGAACGGGGAACGGAGATCCATGGGCAACTGGGCAACCATCATTTTCCCTTGCAAAAATCACCATCAAAATGGGGGTATACCCCATTTTCAGACAGACCCAGATTTTGTGACTTTATCTTGGTGAATGGTGTGTTTTTTTTCTCATGATGAATGGGTGCTGAATGGGGATATCAAGCGATTTTTTGTTTGCGTTTCCGCCCAAGATTCCATTTTGGTTTAGTATGGAAAGGGTCAGGGGCACCGCATTGTTGCGTCGACGTGGATATCTCATGGTATGCTGCCAGATTGAGTAGTGGATAGATGATGATATAAGGTTGATATACTGTATCTTTCGGAGTATCTTTTGAAGCGGAGAATGCCCATATTTTCATATCCCACCCATCCCATCCCATCAGCAACGTTGGTTTGAGGTCCCACCAAAGCTGGGCCCCTGGACGCAGGAAGTGCTTCTGAACGACGTTGCCCTTCAGGATCCAGACGTTGACGATGCTTATGTGCCTCACGTTGGAGTTGGGGAGCTGGGTCTGTGTTCATAGCTGGGTCTCCGGGCTAGTTGGGCAAAAAATGAGGTGTATGCATATGTAAATGTATATACATATATATTATACACATGATATATATCATATATATGATATCTATATATGATATCTATATATGATATCTATATATGATATCTATATATGATATATCATATCATATCATATCATATCATATAATATCATATCATATCATATCATATCATATATACATATATATATATATACGCATACATTATATGAATGATATTTAGATATGTAGATAATTGTACATGGACATTCATATTGAATAAGCAAGAATAACCCACCAAAGCAGTTTCCCCAAGACCCGAGGCCATTTCGGGCCTTGGTGAAGTCATTGATGAACAGCTGTCCGAGCTGTTGATGGAAGAGTGGGGACACCCATCTGATGCCATGGGGATTGGTAGGATTGATGGCTATTTCAACAAGAAATCAACGGGAAATCATTCTTGAAGCCACCATCAGAACTGGTTTTCAACTGGTTTTCCCATGTAGAAATTTCCTCAAACCATGCAAAAAAGCAGCAAAAAGCCAAAGTGTCCGGCATTTGTTTCTGTCAGAAGCAACACGTGACGAAGTAAACGGGGTCTGATGCCGCTCCAAAAAGCCCGCGCACGGCCAGGTTTGGCGCGGACCTGAAGAATTTCCGACGAGCACAGCAGGTGCCTTGTGGGATGTCTTCAGTGACCTACGATGACTTGGATCATTTTGAAATATTTTGAAATATACCATCAGGGACCATCAGTAGCATTTGAAAGCAGTCAAGATGGGATAAGCTTTGGGAAACAAGCCACTAGTTTTCAAGATCGGTTTGAAGTTCCGCATAGTGTCCTCAATGAGAAGGTCGACGGGGAAAACGTTCACTTAGTCTTTGGAAACTGCAGAGTTTATGTTTCAACTGAAGAAGTCAGCTATCATTTGTGGCCCTATCTTCGACCTCACTCAGTTTTTGCAGATCTGCGCCAAGGATTTCAACCTGAAGCTCAGTTTGTTGGTGGAACAACAGCCAGAAGAAGACCCTGCGCCCCTCAGCATGGCGTTGCTTCAAGGTGTTTGGTGCATGGCAAACATGGCCCAGCTGAGGTTGGACTTACTTGGCTTCGTGGCCTACAAGACGTGGGGTCCACCGGTGCCTGGAGTCAGTGTAGGTGCTGTGGGCGTGGCTGACAAGCATCGCGGCAAGGGCTATGGGAGGCAGCTCATGAATCTTGACTTTTATTGGACGACCGTCGCGATGGCAGTGCTTTTGGTCCATTAGAGAGATTGCCTATCAAACATTATCAAACCACATATCGCAACCACCAAAAAGATCGAAAAGTCATGAAACGTCATGACATGTCATGAAACGTAATTTTCACACTTTTACTGGACATTTCGCCATTTTTCGATATTTTTGGAGCTTGCGATGCTGCGAAACCTCAGGAAAGTGGCTGAAGATCGCGCTGCCATGCTGGGGGTGGTCACTGGGGAGGTGCCAATGCTGCAGAAACGCCAACCATTTGGGGATCTAATGGGGGTATATTTATTAATATTATAGAATGGATATAATATATATATATACACAATCTACAATCATATATATCATATCATATCGTATGATATAATATCATATCATGTCATGTCATTGCATACGAATATCATCTCAAAAGCGGTAGACCAATGACATAAATCCCTCTCATTGGAGGATGGTTGGAATCCCATCCATTTCTGGTAAAGCAGGGATTTATCGAAGATTCTCAGTTGCCATGCTTGAGATTACCAGCTCATTTCCAGAAAGGGTAGCCTTAGAGCAGTCGTTCCCCATTGTGCCATGGTTTTGTTGAGATTCAGGTTCAAATGCAAATCCTGAAACTTTAAAAACTGTGGTGTTTCAAGCATTTTCAAGCTTTGTTATCGAATCCCCCTTATGATTGGATGAAACCGCCCCGGTGGTACCATAGATCCATCGGCTTCCCCTACCTTTCAACTCATCCGCTGAAATTCCACGGTATCAGGTGGTAACCCCCAATTTTTAAGTTAGTTTATAAACCCCATTCAACCATTTTTTCCAACTACTTATAAGTTGGTTTATTAACCATACCAGCTATAAGTTGGTTTATTAAGCCCATGAAAACTAGTTCGGTTATATCTACCTAATCAACCATAGTTCAGCCACCGCCATCCATATCCCCAATGGATCCAGGGCTTCCAAGCTGGCCAAGTACGACTTCGATCCTTGGCCTCCGCCGTGCACTTCTACGAACGCCTGGGCTACGAGCGCCTGGAGGCTTATTGGAGATCCCGGGGGGTAAGCCATGGAAGATACCGGTGGATGGGTGATTTTCATGGGATTTACCCTCTGGTAATCAAACATAGCTACGGAAAATCACAATTTTTAAGAGGTAAATCAACTATAAATGGCAATTTTCCATAGCTATGTTAAATTACCAGAGGGTAAGTGATTTAACCATTATACAATTCTAGGGACTTTTATGGGGTTTTAAGTATCAAAGATATTGAGATGTAATTGACAAATGATGGTTGAATATGGTTGATAGGTTGTGAAATGTGGGTAATGACTCTACCTATCAGTTTGTACATTTGTACCTAGTTCATCGGGGATTCTGACAAGCCCCAGTACAATGGGATGGGAAATCGGGGGTATTTTTGGCTCAGATCCACGGGTTGATTAATGATGATCTGCCATTTTTTGTGACACGAAAGTTTGAGCCATACCCAAATTCGAGATGGAAGTGAAACTCGGAACATCTGGGATGGACACGACTGTAGCCCATTAGTTGCCGCGAAATTGGTGGATTTCCTTTCCCCAGAAAGTTGAAACCACCATCAGCTGGACATCGGCAGGAGGAAGAGGGAGAAGCGGAGAAGACACCGGCATGTCCCGATCCTGAGCGCCCTGCTGGGGAGGTGGGAAAACCGAGAGTAGCCGAGAAAGCCATCCACAGGGTATGCATCAAAAGTCTCAAGGGAAAATCGATGATTTGGATGATAACATAATAATGTCATTGGGTGACCGTACACATTATGGCCTATCCATTCGTTATCACCCAAAATCCAGATAATTTTTTTGGATTATACATTGGATTATACAATGATTAAGAACCCAATTAAATCCACATTATTATGGCCTATCCATTTATCACCCAAAATTTCAAATGCTGGTAGTTTCAATAAAATTCCATTATACATCATTATACCTGGTTATAACATACTACAAACCAATAGAATGTTATCCCATTATAAACCAACTATTTCCAGTTGAATCTTCTGGGCCTCCGCAAGGATTCGGATGATGAAGGTCCCTGCGTGCCGATGGCTCGAAAGTGTGCCCCACATAGTCCACGGACGACGATGAAAATGGGCTCCTTGGTTGGAGAAGGCAGATGTACAGATATCATAGATATGTGATATGTGTATATATATATATGACATATATATATAATATCACATATATATATATATATCACATATATATATACACTATATATTGTATATATATATATATCATATATGTATACATCATATTATGTTCACTTTTCATATTTTCCAGCAGCAATTTGAACAGACATGTACAAAAGAATCAACACAAGCAGAATGCTAAGCAAAAGAAGAACATATAAACAGAAAACACATAGTCAAGTCAAGACATTGAGAACAACGGAATCTCAAAGTCAAACACACAGGTACAATAAGACACCAGAAATGACAAAGCATAGGAATGCAACAGAAATACGCAGTTGTTGGCAATTCCAAACAAAATGACCATTCTTATCACAATCAGCCATCATCTATCAACTATATCCACATAACATATATTTGATCTATAACCTGTTTTAATTATGGTTATTTTTCATGTGGAATGATATATTCTATGGTAGTTATAAGTCAGAACCATTGCAATTCAGCATTTATAGGGATTAACCAATCAAACAACTATATAAAACTTATAACCATTTGTATGACCCCTTGTTGGTTATAAATGCTGGAATGAATGGTGCGAGTCAGTGCTGGTTAGATGGGGATGGGTCAAAACCTAGTTTTACCATATATGACTGGGGGAATAAACATCCATTAATCAACTATATATATATATACTAATGAATAATTTTGGGATTACCAATGAATAAATAGGATTACCAATTAATAAATATATGTATATATATATGTAATCAATTACTATATTATATGATGGAACATGTTACTATATTAGTACTTTATTATTTTTTTTCGTGTATAGAACTACAATCATATATATATATATATATTATATATACACACACATTACTGTGGACCTCTGTGAGATCCCCTATTTTTCCATGAACCGAGGACCTCTGCTTTCACCAGGGCCGCAAATGGCCTGGTGTCCCAAGATCTCTCGAGCATTGGAGGATGGTCCAACGTGGCCAACCATGGAGCAGTGCCCTGGCATAGTATGATCATTTCAAATATTGTAATGTATGATATATTATGTTATACTATATAATATAATATAATAATATTATACTATATAATATATAGTAAAAAATATATTATATAATATTATACAATATTATTATATTATATCATATTATTATATTATATAATATGATATAGTATAATATAATATTATATTATATAATATAATAATATATGATATGATATGATATGATATTATGTTATTTTATTATATTATTTTATACTATGTTATATTACATAATATAATATAACACAATATAATATAATGTAATATTATTATATTGTATTGTATTGTATAATATAATATTATATTATATGATATTATGTTATGTTTTATTATATTATATGCATATATACATATTGCGATAGACAATCGTATCTGATTTCCAGACTTTTCTCTGGATCTTCGATGGGCATGGAGTGTTTATTGGCCGAGGCTCTTGCTGCCAGAAGCTTGTGAAGCTTAAGCTTGCCTTCTAGCTCATGTGAGTGGGCTGATTTAAGTTTCCTTTTTTAAGTGCTTGCAGTTGAAGTTTCGTATCTCATGTGTGCATCAAGACACATGAGTCAAATTCGTTTCAGTTCCAAGAAGGATTGGACATCCCTCGCTTTTCGAATCTGTCAGCATCCATTGATTCAAGCTGTTTTCCTCCCAAGGGATGGTCAGCCAAGTCAGCCTGGCAGGGTATCCCCGTCGCCACGTTGCGATTCGCAGTTTGAGCCGGTGGCGTGGCGAGTCGCGACCCAGTCACCGGGCTAAGATGGCCAGGAGATTTGGAGCTCGCGGATGGGAGCTGCTGGGAGCCATGGCAGCTATGGCCGACAGTTGGAGCCATGTGGCGTGAAAATGTGATGCGCTGTGTCGTGGGAACATGGAATAAACATGGAATATGTTCTGGGAATGGGAACGATATGGGTGTACCCCATGCCCAAGTGGCAATTCTTCTCAAAGTCTTCATGGTGTAGAAACCCTTAGAACCACATGTCTTGGCGAGGTCAGAAACTGGTGAAGCTTCTGAGAAGGAGCTGCGGATTTGGGTTAAGACTAGTTGAGACAACACTGGTTTCAAATGGGTTTCTCCAAAATCCAACGGTTTCCCATGATTTTTTAGACAATTATTTTGGGGTAGCCCGGGGTACATCCCATTTCCAGACACGAAGACGCGAAGAGCATCAAAGTCTTCCCCTGGCTCATCACATGCCGTAGATCCCGCCGATTGTTCCCTTCACTTTTTCCTCATGGTGATTTCATAAGCAAGATGATATTTGGGGATATAATATGATATATATTAATATATATTAATATACATTAATATATATATATATATTAATATATAATATATAATATATAATATGATATAGTGATGAATGATACTTGGGTGTGTCTTGAGAAAGGGATTTCAAGGCCACTTTATGGTCATTTTCTGTAGAAACTGACCATCCTGTTGGTCCAGGATGCGCCTGAAGCAGGCACAAAGTGGCCTGCGGAACGTGCTTGGAGCCCAGTTTCTTTTTTAAAATCAGCCATGTCCACACTTCCAGAATTGCGGTTGACACCATGATATTTTAATATATTTTAGGGAAACACACATGGAAAATCATGGGAAAACCATAGAACAAGCATAGTTTCTGGTGAAGATTTTCCTTCAACACCAATCCGTACCGCCCAAATCAGAGGCTGTGGAGGCGATTCCTGCAGTTGAAGAGGCAGCACCCATGGAAGAACGCTGGGTCCACGGGAATCTCGTCTGCCATCGCCTCGCGCTTCCCATCCGAAACGCTGAGGCCAGTGGTTCTACAAGGATGCCTCGGGAGCAGTTCAGGGTCCATATTCATCCTCAGTGATGTCAAGCTGGTCCGGAACCTACATCCCATCAGTGTTTCCTCCAACCACAGTGCCATGGTGAGACACTTCAAAGGTCACGTTCTGGTTTCTTCCCAGCAGATACCATGGTTCGTGGGAGCCTCAGACTGACAGATCAGCATCGCTCCTGCGATCAGTGGACGATGGATGTGGTTCTTCCGAGGCTCCGAGGATGAGGACGAGTTTTCGGAGCTGGGCAACGGCATGCGTCTCATCATGGCGCCGCAACCTCGGAGGCCATTGGTCGCGCGGGGTCACGGATGGCCACGAAAGCTACGGTGTGGAGCGGCTGAGGTCGTTGAAGGAAGACTGAGCCATGCGGTGCTGGTAGTGATGCTGAAGAAACCGAAGTTACACTTACAGTCATGGTTGAATTGGTTGACTCGTACCTGAACTGTTTTGATGTCATGGTCAAAAGATGTCAAAAGTTTGTGAAAGAACAGACGTTGAGACTATATAATTGAGACAAGTTGAGATTGAGCAGTATAAAAATGATGCTCGCAGAAGAGTCTCACAAAGCGTCTGAGCTTGGCTGAGAATCGAGTCAGGCAGCGGGAAGGGTAAATCTCCAGCTAAAAAAGCGGGACTTTGTTGTTCTTTGATTTGTCACTGATGACACTGATGCTGGAGATATACCCAAGCCCAACTGGCCAAATGTTCTATGGAAAGCGAAGAAAAGTGTCCCCAGCCAAAGGTCGCCAGCAGTTGACTCGAAGACCACAGATCATCCAATTCCATCCAATTCCCTCAGCTGCTCGAAATCAGATCCTTGGCAATGAGCAAAAAATCACAGCCAAGATATGCTAAGATTGTAGGTTGAGTATTTTCCTTCAGACGTGCAAAACCTAGCTCAACTATTTTTCAGGATCGTTTAAGAGCCTTAGCTATCAGAAGACAGAAGTTGCTCAACTGACCCCACGCAACACCAACTAATCAATAGCCTTATTGCTTTTCCAACCAGCAATCACGGCATTTTTTTCATTGCGAGTTTTAGAAAACCATGACTTGAGCAGCAACTTTGGAAGGTGCCTGGCTTGCAAGCCTCAAGCGCCACAATACCATGGACGGTTTTTGGGAAGACTATATATAATTGATTATATTAATGTTTATTGCAGACTGTATGTCCTGTGCAAAAAAATGCTGAACCATCGACAACTACAGATGCAAAAGGACCTTTCTCCGTGCCATCGATGTGTTCAGGTGCCAATGACTTTACCAATCAGCCAGAACTCGCCAGTCTACAGCGCGTGCGTGCACCAAGGGTGGCAATGCATGGGTTGCAATAGGCCAGAAAGATCATTGACAGTGACTGATCACACATTGATCACACATTCATTTCATGCACTATGTTTCGGCTGATCTTTTTTCGGCTTGCAGGAAGTGAACCACACAAAAGGTACTTGAAAGGGTTGTTTTCAACCTATTGAATCCAAATTCGCACATAGAAAGCCATGCAGATCTTCGTGAAGACCTTGACGGGCAAGACCATCACCCTCGACGTTGAGGCAAGTGACACCATTGACAACGTCAAGGCCAAGATCCAGGATAAGGAGGGGATCCCACCTGACCAGCAGCGCCTGATCTTTGCAGGCAAGCAGTTGGAGGATGGCCGCACCCTTTCGGACTACAACATCCAGAAGGAGTCCACACTCCACTTGGTCTTGCGCTTGCGAGGTGGCATGCAGATCTTCGTGAAGACCCTGACGGGCAAGACCATCACCCTCGACGTCGAGGCCAGTGACACCATCGACAATGTCAAGGCCAAGATCCAGGATAAGGAGGGGATCCCACCTGACCAGCAGCGCCTGATCTTTGCTGGCAAGCAGTTGGAGGATGGCCGCACCCTTTCGGATTACAACATCCAGAAGGAGTCCACTCTCCACTTGGTCTTGCGCTTGCGAGGTGGCATACAGATCTTCGTGAAGACCCTGACGGGCAAGACCATCACCCTCGACGTCGAGGCCAGTGACACCATCGACAACGTCAAGGCCAAGATCCAGGATAAGGAGGGGATCCCACCTGACCAGCAGCGCCTGATCTTTGCTGGCAAGCAGTTGGAGGATGGCCGCACCCTTTCGGATTACAACATCCAGAAGGAGTCCACTCTCCACTTGGTCTTGCGCTTGCGAGGTGGCATGCAGATCTTCGTGAAGACCCTGACGGGCAAGACCATCACCCTTGACGTCGAGGCCAGTGACACCATCGACAACGTCAAGGCCAAGATCCAGGATAAGGAGGGGATCCCACCTGACCAGCAGCGCCTGATCTTTGCTGGCAAGCAGTTGGAGGATGGCCGCACCCTTTCGGATTACAACATCCAGAAGGAGTCCACACTCCACTTGGTCTTGCGCTTGCGAGGTGGCATGCAGATCTTCGTGAAGACCCTGACGGGCAAGACCATCACCCTGACGTCGAGGCCAGTGACACCATCGACAATGTCAAGGCCAAGATCCAGGATAAGGAGGGGATCCCACCTGACCAGCAGCGCCTGATCTTTGCTGGCAAGCAGTTGGAGGATGGCCGCACCCTTTCGGATTACAACATCCAGAAGGAGTCCACCCTCCACTTGGTCTTGCGCTTGCGAGGTGGCATGCAGATCTTCGTGAAGACCCTGACGGGCAAGACCATCACCCTCGACGTCGAGGCCAGTGACACCATTGACAATGTCAAGGCCAAGATCCAGGATAAGGAGGGGATCCCACCTGATCAGCAGCGCCTGATCTTTGCTGGCAAGCAGTTGGAGGATGGCCGCACCCTTTCGGATTACAACATCCAGAAGGAGTCCACCCTCCACTTGGTCTTGCGCTTGCGAGGTGGCATGCAGATCTTCGTGAAGACCCTGACGGGCAAGACCATCACCCTTGACGTCGAGGCCAGTGACACCATCGACAATGTCAAGGCCAAGATCCAGGATAAGGAGGGGATCCCACCTGACCAGCAGCGCCTGATCTTTGCAGGCAAGCAGTTGGAGGATGGCCGCACCCTTTCGGACTACAACATCCAGAAGGAGTCCACCCTCCACTTGGTCTTGCGCTTGCGAGGTGGCATGCAGATCTTCGTGAAGACCCTGACGGGCAAGACCATCACCCTCGACGTCGAGGCCAGTGACACCATCGACAATGTCAAGGCCAAGATCCAGGATAAGGAGGGGATCCCACCTGATCAGCAGCGCCTGATCTTTGCTGGCAAGCAGTTGGAGGATGGCCGCACCCTTTCGGATTACAACATCCAGAAGGAGTCCACCCTCCACTTGGTCTTGCGCTTGCGAGGTGGCATGCAGATCTAAATATATAGTGGCATATCGTTCTTGGCTGTTGGCGTTGTTGCTTCTTGTCTCTGTTTGGTTTTGATTCTGTTTTTGTGAGTATAGAACAGCATGACCCTGCTGAAAGGGAGTGTGTCGAAGCATGTCAAAGCCAAGTTCGCCATCAGAAATTTTCGAACACAAGCAGCAAGTCGGCTGGTTCTCCTGCATTGATCAATATTAATCAATATCATCACTGCGAGCAGCAGCATCAAGACACTTGGATTCACTCCAGTCACACTCCTAAGAAACTTGCCGAAGCAATTTGGTTGCAACCACAACATGTTCAAAATGAGCGATGAAAACAGATTAACTCCCAATTCTCCAGCCATCTGAAGCACGCAAGAAGTTAAGCATCGTAGGGTTTGATCATGCTTTATCGGTTTTGGAGTTCCATCTTCCATGGGAAATATGGGAATCAATACGCTCAAGCTGCGTGTTCGACACAGTTTCTTACTTGACCAGCGCTCGTGTTCATGAATCAATTCCCTCACAGGATTCCACACGGTCAAATATATGAAATCATTTTCCCCATGATATTCCCATTGATATTCCCATTATATCACTATAATATCACCATTATAGTCCAATTATATTCCCAAATCCCATCATGAATCAAGTTGACTCGCTGCCAGTTCGGACTCATTGTGGCAGTCGGTTTGAGTTCTCTGGAAGCATCACATGAAGCTGTGGATTGCCTTCGGAGTTTCTTGAATCTTGTACAGACTCGACTGCGGCTGCGACTCCTCAGCAATTCTGATCCCAGAGTTGGTTGGGTTGAGCAAAAAAATCGGTGTGGCCCATGGCAATTTGATAATTTGAACAAGTTGGAGGTGAGAGGAGCAGAGGACCGCCCACGAATTCCAGTTTGGTGGCCGGGGCAACAATCATTTTGTCCTCCAAAAACATCAAACAGCATCTCAGCATTATCATTGGATGGACCCGAGGCCGCCGACAGAAGAGATGCTGTCCAAGCTGATTTATGTCAAGTGGTGCGCAGAGCTCTCAGCGCGATGCGAAGTGTGGAGGATTGAGCATCGGTGAAGCTGAAGAAAGACCATGGTGCAACATGGTGATGCACTGACAGCATGCTGGCTTTGGAATTGTTTTCTCATGTTTTCTCCAGAAGATATCAGGGTTATCGCAAGCATTCCCAAGAATCACAGTGCTCGCTGTTTTAGTTTGCTCACGTTTGTGGGTACAGCTCCACGACTTTGTTCGCTGAGGTTTTGGTGACTTACCTTTGTGCAATAGGCAACTGGCAGCTTTCGTGCGACTGTTTTATGGAGTGTGAATGATGTGAATGTATACTCAATGTCAATGTTAGTCAAAGTGCTGTGTTCGACTTCCACCAGTATGAACCAATTGCATCCAATTCTAGAAACTAGGATCTTAATGGATTTTACATGATTTTACCAATTCATACACGGCTTTGATGTACCCCTAAAAAAAAAGGATTACACTGCACCGTTGAAACCTGGCTACAGTACCCACGGTCCGGTAATTCGCCAGGGCTTTTTGTGGCAGATGCAGATGAGCCTTTTGGTCCGCTGAACGACCTCTTCGTGGCCTGCTTCGGCACCTTTCTTCTGAAAGAGGAGCCCATGGGGATATGGACCAAAATTGGGTACCTCTCAAAATGGAGGGTTAATACATCTTAATACTAAAAATACACTTAATTCTGTGGTCTGCCAGGTTTTTGATTTTGACCCATACCCAATAAAATGCTTCGCTGAAACGGTGCAACTGGGGCTGTTGAAAGTGGAACCGGGGGAACTTCCAGGCAACAGTTTTGTGGGGGCAGGCTTGATTGGCTTGATCTATATCCAAAAGCTAGAACCAGGCTACATGGGAAGCAGCTTTTGGTGACAACATGATTTGCTCAAAGTTCATATCTTCTCCTATGCCTATGTTTGAGTTATCGATTTTCAATCTCTTTGCTGGCTGAACGCTCTACGTAATTTCTGGGTCATCTGTGTGTATAATATTACGTTATATTTTATTACATTATATTTTATTATGTTATATCATATCATATCATATTGTAATATATAATATAATATTATAATATATTTATGTATGCATCGTGTTTGGCAGGCACTGGGTGTGCATTATCATTAGGGTGAGTATGTAAGCTGATGAATCCATTTTGGCTCAAGTCTGAGCCAAACTGGCTTCATCGTTCTTTCTTTTGTTGGGGTACCCACGCCACTTCTAGGGAGTTACCCTAGGTTCAGTGGTTTCTCGTTCCTCTACTAGGGCGTTACCCTAGAGTACAGAGGTTACGAAGGTGGGAGGTCACCCCCCTCGATGCCAAGGGCCTCCATCGTCGTTCGGCCCGGTTGGAATGAGGCTGCCCACACGATGTGGAGCTGCTTCATGCAGCTGCCTACTACGAGTTCAAGACGCACGTGGAGAGCCTACTCCAGCAGGGCTTGGTGGCCGAGGCCACCCGGTTGTGGGCTTCTGTGTGCCAAATTGATCATTTCCCCCCACATCCACTTGGGTTGGGGGTGCAGGGACTTCCCCCTTTCAGACGGTCACCTTGCATGGAAGAAAACTGTAGGAGGTGTACTGAGTATCAGGGAGGATTCAAGTTCCCTTGGATCGGCACATGGAACAGCTCAGCTGTCTTGGCTCTGCCCGGGAGTGACCCGCGGCGTGCGTGGCAATCCTACTATGATCGCCTGGGCGAGGCGAAGCTGGATTTGCTACTCATCGAGCCGCTGCGGACTCATTGGACGGCTCGGGACTTTGCGCCGGACAACATCTTTGGTTTGGTCGCCTTCATCGAGCACAATGCCGATAGCATGGTCGACCTCACCGAACTTTGCGATGTTTGGAGGACCTGGCAGTCCCCACGGCGTGGATGGAGGGACCCATCCATGGTGCCCATCCCGGCTGACCTGGTTGCGTGGAGAGCACCACGGGCCAGAGCAGTTCGGTCGTTATGGGGTTGGCTCGGTGCCATGGAGGCTGGGGAGGAACCCTTGCCACCTTGCAAGGCTTGTGGACTGCCGACACCTGAGCTCTGTGAGCGATGCTTCTCCTCAGTGTGCAGTACCTGTCCACCCTCCCAGTGTCCAGGATGTCACCCCGTCTTGCGTCGAGACCCATCTGCAGCAGCTGCGGCCTAGTGATGTGTGTTTGTTACCTGATGATACTGAGGTGTGGTCTGCAGTTTCAGGCCCAGCCCGTACGCTCCAAACCTTGGCGGCGGTGGTGTCAGGAGTCGCCATGGCGTACCACCCAGGAGCCTATGCGGTGCAGGCTGCTGGTGAGGCTCCACCTTGTGCAGAGACGGCGATGGAGAGGGTGGCATCCACCCGTGTTGAACAGTGGCGAGCTCAATGGGGACTACATGATGAGACTGACTTCGCCTATGCGTTTGCATCCTATGACAGCGCAGTGGCACATGGAGGACACCATGTGGCAGATGCGTGGTTGCAAGCGCGCTCCAAGACTGCCGAAGCTGACCTCATCCCTCAAGCGGCTGCCGTGGCTGAAAGCTCGGGCTCCAGAGACCGGCCAACGACATGGCCTGCGCCCAAGGCGTCCATGATGAAGAAGAGCAAGATGGTCCAAGCTCTTCGAGTCCGGCCAGGTCCAGACCAACCAGAGACTGTGCTGCTGCGAGCTGCGGCATTGAGGAAGGCCTTTTCTCAAGCCAAGGTTATGCGTCCTCAAGGGGAGTTGACCCCTGAGAGGTACGCTCAGTGGCAAGACGCTCTGGATACCCTGTCCAAGCGGAAGGTGACAGAGGCCGAAGGAGCGACGGTGGTGAACGCCCTGAAGTCCTGGGCTGAGTTGCGGGCCTACATGGAGCAGAAGGACCGCCTGTTCCCACCGGATGCATTGGACCTCTACGGCTTCTTGCAGAACGGCACGTCGGGGCCTTACCGAGCCTTTCACTCCTTGAAGTGGTTCTCCAAACATGGCCGGTTGCAATGGGACTTCAGTGATGTACCAGTCCCAGCTCGCAAGAATCCACCCAAACAGGCAAACCCAGAACAGGCTGTTGCAGTTGAGCCCCCAATGATTGCAGCGCTTGAAGAGAAGATTCAATCGTTGTACGAAGCAGGGGACCCGCGTTGGAGGGGCTTACTGTCCAGCTGGCTGGTTACCTTTGGTGTCCTGCGATACCAGCACATCATGCGTGCCAGGCCAGTCAAAGTGACCCCCAGCTCCTTTCATGGCTACTGCACGAAGGGGAAGCAGAAGGCCAACAGGGGCGGGTTCTCCTTCAGCATCCCGGCCACATTCGTCAATGGATGGGCTTGGGGCTCGGCCTTATTCAGGGACTACAGCAGTCTGGATAAGGCTAAGCAAGCCGCTTCGGGGTTATGCTTTGATGCGGAGGGCACCGCATACACATTGAAGTTCGTCAACGAGCTCAATCGTGAGGTCTTTGAGCATTTGGTCCAGAATACAGAGGATTTGTCTTCCTATTCCTGGCGACGAGCAGCGCCTACAGTGGGCACTTTGATGAAGCTGACGCCTCTCGAGCTATGCTCACTGGGGGACTGGGCAGATCGTTCCCAGATCCCGAAGGAGGCGACAATGCCTATGCACTACAGTGCAGCCAGGTATGAGTCTTCATTGAGGACCAAGCACATTGTGAGGTTGGCCATGGAGAAGCTGCTTGCCCATGAGTCATGGGAGACCATCCCAACAGAGACCTATGCTGAGGCCCTGGAGTATGCGCGCCAGAACGTTGACAAGGTGCTGAAGCAGGAATCCAGGGTCATTTGGGCAGCTCCTTTGACGAAGGCGGAGATGCAGGCGCGTTTCCAGCTGTCGGAGGCTCTCAAGCTCAAAGCTGCGGCCAAACGAGAGGAGGCACAAGCCAAGGGTGGCCTGTCTGCGATGCCGGCATCTCTCAACGGGAAGGTGCTGAGCGCATTCATGAAGAATGGGGCGCCTATTTGTGGAACCTTCCAGACAAGGTCTTGCCCCTTGGAGAAGGAAACGTGTCCTGGTCGCCATGCATGCGCCATTCTGCGCAAAGCTGGACGAGTTTGTGGTGGAGGCCATCCGGCATGTGAATGCCACGACAAGAAGTTCATCAAGGTGGAGGAGATGACTGGCGAAGGGCCTGGTTCGGGATCTGCTAAGGCCAAGCCTACTAGCAAATCCACGGAGGAGCGACCTCCGGAGCCAGCTGCCCCTCCTAGGGCGTCAGTGAGGCGCCCAAGGTCCCCACAAGGGCCGCCGTCTAAGGCACCGCCAGCGAAGAAGGCCAAAGCAGCCCCAGCTCCACCTCCAGCGCCATTGCCAGCCCTGGTGACCAGTTCGGAAGAAGAAGAAGTTGAAGTCGAGGAGGAGGACCTTCCGATTCCAGAGGCACTGGATACTCGAGGGCCCGACCAGAAGTTCGACAGGTTGGCGACAGTCCATGGCAAGACAGCGGAGAGCCCGAGCCTTATTTATCAGAATAGGGCAGGGGGCAAGCTGTGGCTGAGTGGAATTCCAACCAGGAACACGGCAAATCGCTTTCCAAAGGGAGTTACCCTTCAGATTGCGTGCATGGCCGAAGCCCCATCATCCAGAGGAGGAGTGGTGCTCACAGATGCCCTCTTGAAACACCTGTGTGTGGCCCATGGTGGTTCAAGGAACAGGGACTTCGAAGAAGTCTGGCCTTTGCTGCGCAATACGATGTATGCAGGCGAATCGGCCCTGATCCACTGCCTATCAGGGCGCCACCGAGCAGGTATTGGGGGCTGTGTGTTCCGTGCGCTGCTAGCCCAGGAGAGCTGGGATGTTGCAGTGGCCTACGTCAAGAGCTGCAGGCGCTCGTTGGACATTCCGGGGATCATCCATGAAGCGGGTATGAGGTCGTGGGTGGATACGACTCTCAGGACCAGCTCCCTCAGGAACCCGTTCCCAGAGCCCTGCGGCTACATTGCGACACTTCGTTCAAAGGTCCATCTGGAGCTCAACAACGGCCAGACCCTCTGCTCCCACAAGCAATCTGCCGAGCGTGCAATCCGCTTGGTGAAGCCAATGACGACGCAGGACATGAGTGAGGCTATGGCTTGGGGCCGCGCTTTTTGTGACGGTTGTTTGGTGCGAGCAGCAGCGAGCTGGCATCCACGCTGACCTTGTCAGGAGTGGCGCACCAGAATTCATTTGAATAAGAGACGCACAGGGCCGATTTTGGTAAGCTGATCAATGTGGTCCATAGCTTGCCCGTAGGCTAACATGCATTTGAACCATTTGAGAGCTTGACTTCTGCGTGGAAAATGGCCCTATCAACATCCGGGAGGATGAAGTCATGACAGGCTGTGATAACTAGTCTTACCGGTATGTCATGAGGTGGCTTACACAGGTATCTGTGAGGACAAGCTACATGATGTGCGCCGGGGATAGAGACTAGGATACAGTCTGTCGTACCCCTGAGGAACAGGGGAGTTCTTGTCTTACCCCCCCTGTCACCTCCTTCTGTCCCTGGATGGCAGGTGATGTGCAGCATGCGGGAGGCATGTTTGGGGGTGAGCAGCTTTGAATGTTCAAGTCATACAAGGAGTTACCTTGAGAAAATGACTAGTGTTCGATTGGTTCCGGTGGAGAGTACCACCATTCAGGAAACCATGGAGTC